TTCATCCTCCTTGTCACCCAAAACGAGCAAGCTGGATCCCCTCTCAGCCTTGTGCTTCGAGTGAGAACTGCTCACAGATTAGAAATAATCCCCATCTTCCCTCCCTTCCTCTTGGCCCACATAAGGAGGAAGGTGGGTGCATCCCGAGTCTCGAGGACAAGGAGGGAGAAGAGGAGCTCTCAAAATTCCTTCTGGGAAGGAGAGTCCTTGCCCCCCTGACACCTCCCAAGGGACAGCTCTCCCTCAGGGAAAAGACATCACAAACACTTTGCTCCTCCATCCCAGCACCAGTGACACATCCTTAGAGGCCTCTGCCTGAGCAGTTGGGGCAGCAGGGTCTCAGAGGTTCATGCGTGGTCCCGGCACAGTCACACCCTCCCTCTGCCCTCTTCAAAGACTAAAGGTGCTGGCGCTCTTACAAACACGGCTCTGACACCGGGCGGGTGCCTCCTGTCCTCAGGATGGAGCTGCACAGGGTTTATCCAGGCACCGGCCCTGCCCTAGCCCTACCCTAGCCCTGCCCCAGCAGCTGGAACACCCAGCAGTGCATGCTTACTTTGGAAGGCAGGCTGGACCCTGATCCTCCAGCTTCAGCTCACTCTGCAGCAGATCACGCTCTTGTTTCACTATAACTCCTGGGGCAGAGGAGTCTGTCCCACTGCGTCCTGGGAAGAGGAGAGATGTGTTACTAGCATGAGAAAGTTTCCCCTCTTTTACAGTAATTGCTTATAATAACATCTTGCACATCCCCTTTCATCCTGCAGCTGATGCCTTTCCCAGATGAGACACCCAGAAGTGCAGCTGCCACCGGAACAGAGCAAGACAATTTGTTTACAAGGCAGGCCTGCGCTCTCGGCAGCCGAGGGCAGGAGGAAGGGGAGGCTGTCGTCTCTGGGTCGGCACAGGCAGCTCAGGGGGATGGCTTGCATTGTTCCAGGTCAGGATAACGAGGCCCTTCCGAAGCCCCTTTCCTATGGGAATCCCGACAGGTTGTTGTCCCTCCCTGCACGAGGGGAAGTGCGGCACCAGGGGAATGAAAGGACTCATCCGTCCAACGGCGGTGCTGAAAGGGAAGAAGGAGGGAAGCAGGGCCTGATGGAGCTTTCCAGCTCCAACTGGAAGACACCAGGTCACAAAGCAAGCCCAGAGCCCAACCTGACACCTTCCCAGTGCAGCTCCACGTGCTTGGTGTTGTCCCTCCTTCCCACTAGCCTCCCACTGTGCTTGAGCTCTTCGATGCCCACAGACCATCCTGCTTTCAGCCTGGCTGCATCCCATCGTGCCCTCAGACTGTCAAATTCCTGCTACGTCTTTTGCCCAAATGTGCACGTGGCCGAAGTGAATTCTCCTTCCCTCCCAGCCCCACAAGGATCTATTGCCACTTACAGTCTCTCCTTCTTCTCTCCTTTCCCAGCCTCAGATCTTGCCCTCATCCATCCCTTTTGCCACTGCACAGGGTTCAAGGTCCCTCTGGAGAGCAGGGACTCAGAGGCAGGTCCTGCCTTGCAACACAGGCAAAGGGGACATAGCTGAAAATGATCCTGGCTTGAGACTGGAGATGGGAATTTCCTTTCTCTTGCAGAAACTGGCTCAGAAACTGCTGATGTGAGGGCTTGGGAGACACTGGAAAGATGGGATTTGTCCTGTGAGGAGGCCTCTCCTCCTGTCAATAGCAGAGGGAGCCTGAACAGCCAGCATAGTTTAGGCCTTGCCTTCCCTTCTGCTGTGAATCCCACCAGGAGATAAGCCCTGCTGGACATTCCCAACCCTCTGAGTCACCCAGGGCTGTGCCCAGCCACGCACCAAGGGTCAAGGACACCAGTTGTGCTGCAGGTCTGCAGCCTCTGAACACCTGAAAGTGGACAGAAATATTCAGGGTCGGACATGTTTCACAGTGAAAACTACAATCCCATACTTTTTTTCCAGGAAAATCTGGCAGCAGAAATGGTGTTTAGAGAGAGGGGTCAATGGAATAAAAGGCTGCTGGTGATTTTTCCACTCTATGTTATTTGGCCTTGAATACTAGTGAAAATGACACTTATAAAAGGCCTCTTTTGTGTACCTACAATGGGAGTGGCTGCTGGGGTGCCAGTTCGAGTATCAGTGAATTTTAAGGGCAGACAAGGCCACTGGTGGTGGGGGGAGCAGCGCTGCAGCTGTAGGGGTACAGTGGAGTGGGGGCTTTGCCTGACAGGGATTAGTGCTGAAACATCAAAACCCCAGCCCTGCTGGCTGTGGAATGTGGCTGCCTCTGTCCCAGTATTGTCCCACTCACTGTCACAGGGCACTCCATGGCATCTGGATCCATGCACTCCCAGTGAAGTCAGGCTTTCCAGGCAACAACTCCGATCATTGTAATTCCAAAGGATTGCAAGGGGTGGGGGAGGAAACATCTCTATTTTCCTTCTATTTTTATGAGCATATGATAGCACTTTGATACGAAATTACTTGTTTTGCTGCATCCCTTGGTATTCCGGGCTGGGCTCCAAGCCACCCGGGGGCAGTGACAGACTGCCAGTGACCTCAAAGGCCGCTGGCCCAGGCCCGGCACCAGCTACTTTCCTTCTTGGTTTGTGTCGATTTTGCACACAGCAAAAACAGAGAAGAAAAACCACCCTCACATGTCCAACCAGATGAAAATCCCTCTGCAAGACCACATTTGAAGACTTTGTAGATTTAAACTCCATGGCGACACTCAGGCTCCTGTCCTTCTGCAGCTCCTGAAACTTCCACCCACTTGGGTTGTTTGTAGGAAGAGCCACTGTCTCCAGGCGATGGGGATGGATTATAATCTTTGTTCGTGCATGTGGAGTGACTGACGCAGATGTCTGTACAATGGGTGCTTTATAAAGTGACAAAATACTTTCAAACTAAGTGGGCAGCATTGCTTGCTTGAAGGATGACTTCCAAAGTAGCATCAATCCTCCCCTTCAGAAGCTTGGGGCACGAAAACACTGTTTCTCACATGCGAGGGCACAGCGGAGTCTGAAAATCCAAACCAAGGTGCATCACTTGGGCTCTGAGCTGCTCCAGACAGCACTTTCCTCATTATCGACCTCGCTTTCTTCAGTGCCACCACTGCAGTGACCATGAGCAGCCCTAGCCTGGCTGTCGTGTCTGTGGCCCGATGAGGATGAGGGACAGCCCAGGTGGCCACACCCAGGCGCAGGCGCCATCACACGACAAAACACGAGCCGTGCCTCCAGCACCTGGGCAGAGCAGAGGCACTGCAGCTGAGGGAGGACTGCGGGAAGGGGTCGGTCAGAGCAGGCGGGTCTGCGCCGAGCACCGGTGCCGGCGCCCTTCGGTGCCGCCATCCCGGCCCGGCCGCGCTGCTCCCGCCGAGCCGCCATTGGCTGCTGCGCTGCGATTGGTGGCGGGGCGGGACAATGGGCGGGGTGAGGCCGCCGCGCCACGTGAGGCCGCGGGCGCGAGGCGAGGGTACCCAAGGCCCCGATCCCGGTCACCACCCTTCGCGTCCGCGCCGCGAGCTCGCGCACTCCCGGAGCTCTTCGGCGGCGGCCCGAGCCCCTCTCGGCAGGTACGCGGCGAGCCCGGGGCGGGCGGCGGAGGAGGCCGGGCCGCCTCAGGCTGCGGCCGCCTCACAGCGGCCGCTGTGGCGCCCCCTGGCGGACGCGCGGAGGCCGGCGCGGCGGGGCCGGGAAGGGGTCAGGCGAACACCAGGACAGCGCGGGAACAGCGCTGCCGGACATGAGCACACGAGGCTCTGCAAGCATCGGCCCCACCACATCCCGTTTGGGACAGCCCGAAGAGGGCAGGCAGGTGCTGGTCCCCGAGTCCCCAGCACGGTGCTGTCTGTCCCTGCAGGACGGCCATGGCTTCTCCCCCAGCCACCCCGCAGCTTCTGTACCGCAGCACCCGCCTGCTGCGCACGGCCTTCCAGCACCTCCACCAGCAGCAACAGCGAGCCGACGTCTTCTGCGACGTGGTCCTGTACGCTGAAGGTGAGCGCGCAGCATTGCCGAGGGAGGGGCCAGCGCGCCTGGGGAGCTGCGGACAGGGTCTCTGCCACCCTCTAGGAACGACTGGGGTGAGCAGGAAGGGCTGCAGGACAGTGACAGCCACTGTTGTTTTGCAGGCGAGGCAGTGGTGGCCCACTGCAGTGTTCTCTCCGTCTGCAGCCCCTTCTTCATGGAGCAGCTGGGCCGGGAGCTGCCCCCCCAGGGTTGCAGGGTGGTGCTGGAGCTGGCAGGGCTGAAGATTGGGGTGCTGCGCAAGCTGGTGCACTTCTTCTACACTGCTGAGCTGGAGGTCACGCACGAGGAGGTGCACGAGGTGCTGGCAGCTGCCCGCCGCCTCCGTGTCACCGAGCTTGAGTCGCTGCAGCTCTGGGGAGGACGCCTGGTGAGAATGGGACCTCGGCGGCAGCTCGACCGCTCCTGCCTGCATTCCACTCAGGAAGTCTCCACCATAGTGGCACATGACACAGCTAAGCCGGGCAGTGCCAGCTCTGGGGTGTCCCCTCAGAGAAAGCCACACTCTCTGGAGCGCACACACCCCAGCCCCATCGGGCGGATGAGGCTGCGGAAGGTGAAGAGCTGGGGGTGCTGGGAGGTGGTACGGGAGGTGCAGCCACCTCCCGTGCCTCCGGCAGTGCCCACTCCAGTGGGTGATGTGGGGGTGACAGAAGCACAGCCCCCCCAGGATGTGGATGCACAGGAGCAGGTGAGTGAGTGCTCCCCACCCCAGCAGCCCCCCAGTGCAAAAGGGATGCAGCAGCATGGGGACTCCCCTGTGTCCCAGCAGGGCTGCCAGCAGGCAGTACCCCCAAGGACCTCCGGAAGTGACACTGAGGAGGAGGTGGATGTGGGGACAGGGGAGCTATTCCTGCCCCCTGGCACAATCTGCCTCTGGCCCTGTCCCTCGTCTGAGTCAGAAGAGGAGGTGGATGTCCTCACCTAGGGGGGCTGGCTCTGCCTCTCCCCCCAACACTGCCTGCAGCCCTTGGGCTGTGTATCCTTGAAATAAAGGGCTAGAGCTGTGCTGTGAAGTACTAAACTTTATTGGGCACAGTGGGGACAACGGGGTATGGAAAGAACCAGGGGTCTGGCAATGGCAGAGCTGCAGCATCAGGGACGGGACTGGGGCTGGCAGGTGCCCCCCACTTGGTCTCGCCTCTTCATGGACGCTCATGCCGCCTGCGCCGGTCCTGGCTCGGCTGTGGAGAGAGGGAAGTTGGTCCCTGTTGGTCCCATCCCTGTCCCATCCCATCGTAGTCCCATCCCCGCTCACCTGGCCAACACCTCTATGCCAAGCTGCTCTTCAGGGCTTCCACTACGGTTTCTGGCTGAGGGAACTTCAGCTTGCGGGGGGGGCCCTTCCTGATACCGCTCCACAGCTCCACGGCTGCAGAGATAAGGGGGATTATAGTATCAGGGGTGCCGGGGCCCCCACCACCCCCCAGCCCAGCACTTACTGCTGCCGTCCTCCTTCACCAGAGACACCTCGAAGCTGTTCCTGCGCGGCGGCCGGGGGTTGATGTCCACGGGGAGGTGGGCCATGGCCCCGCGCAGGGCCTCGCTCACCGCCGCCGCGTTGCGCCCGAACACGCGTCAGCTCTTGCTGTGGGGACACGGCGGTCAGCGGCTCGGGGGGAACCTAAGACCCTCACACCACCCCCGGCACCTCGGCTGCTCACCAGTGCTCGATGACCACACGGGGGCCGATGTCCCCGGGGCTGCTCTCGTCTTGGGCCTGGGCCCGCGCCCGCTTCTGCGGGGCTCCCGCTGTCTCCGGTGCCTCGGCCGCCGCTCGCTGCTGGGCTCCGCGCTTCCTCCCGCGGGGAGCCATCCTGAGAAAGCGGAGGCGGTGGGGCCTACGCCGGAGCAGGAAGCGGGCTCCAGGAATGCCGCTTTGGGGTGAGAAGGGATCTCAGGTACCCCGCCGTCAGGGCAGTGAAAGGTGTCCCTATGGGGACAATGCTGTGGGAGAGGGCCAGGAGGCCAGGAGTGGCCAGTCCCTGGCGATACGCCATTGGGGAAAATGAGGGTGCCCGCCGGGATGCTGCTGCGGAGGGCGGGAAGCGGCTCCCAGGGATCCTGTCACAGTGTGTGTGGCTGGGGAGAGTAGGGACCCTGGAGAAGGGAGGGGACAAACGCGGGGCCTGGACCGGCCGCGCCGCCTCCTACCTGCCGCTGGCCACGTGCCGGGAGCGCGCACTGCCGGGGAGGCGGAGCCGGAAGGGGCGGAGCCAAAGAGAGCACCGGAGCCCCCCCGGTGGGCTCTAGTTCCGCCCGCGCCGCCCCAGCCAATCAGAGGGCGGGAACTCTACAGGGTCCCCGCCCCCATACGCGGTCCGGCACCACGGACACGGGACACGGGCACGGCACGGATCATTTATTGTCAGCGATGGATGAGAGCGAACGTTAACCGAGGCGGGGCCCCTCCTACCGCCCTGCCCGCACGGGGCCGGGGGGCACCGCTGCTTTCCCGGGGCTCAGCTGGGACAAGTCCCCACGGAGAGCGGCTCCGGGCAGGGCCGGGCGGGCCCGCGGGGCCAGTGCCACCAGGGTGATGGTGACATAGTGATGGGCGACAGTACAGGGCAGCTTCTACTTGTCCTTCTTGGTCTCCTCCTGAGACACAGCCGCTGGCGTGGAGGGGGGCTCCTCAGGCCCTTCCTCCCGCGGCTTGGACTGCTTCTTGGCCTTCTGGTAAAGCTCGTTGAGATTGAACTCCCGGATCACATTCTCCTGTGGTCAAGAGGTAGCATCAGCACCACTGGGACCTCGTGCTTTCCCCTTCTTCCCAGGCACAGGCTGGGCAAGGGAACAGAGAGGTGGAGGGTCCCACCCACCTCAGAGAAGGTCCAGGACACAGCCCGGCCCTTCTTGTCGATCTGCGGTCGCCGCATGATCTCTGTCCCACCCTGGAAGAGGATGAGGGTTGGCAGCTGCTTGGTGAGAGGCGAGGTGCTGACCTTGTACCTGCGTCAGGACAAGCCAACAGTGACCCTCGGGCAGCCTGAGAGGGCTGGAGGGTCACAGGGACTGTCCCAGAGTGGGCCCTGCTTGCCCAGGCTGTATTCTGCATACCTGGTGCTGACGTCCGTGTACCGGCCAACATCCACCTTCCCAAACTGGAGTCCTGGGCAGTTGTACCTGGGCAGGATGGGGACACATGGCTGCGAGGGACGCAGGGGAACACAGGACCCGTTACCCACCAAGATCCCACTGAGTGGCACTCACTTGAGAGAGAGGTCAGCAAAGATGGGGGCAAAGGACTGGCACTCACTGGACCAGTTGGCAAAGAACTCAACAATCCACGTCACTCGCTTGTCCCTCTCCAGCTCCTCCTGCCACAGGGGCATGGGGTTAGGGGGTGGTGGGCAGAACCCCCCAAAACCCCCAGGGCTAGGGAGATACTCACATCAATGGTCTTGTCACTGAAGTACTTGATGTATTCAGGGCCCATGTAAAGGGGTGGCTTGCAGGTCATCAGGAACACTGCAATGACAGCACCCTGAGTCCCCCAGTGCCAGGAGAGCCAGGCTGGGCCCGGGATAGAGCTCCTCTACCCCAGAGCAGCGAGAGGGAGCCTGGACAAGAAGAATCTAGGGCAGGAAGACATTCAGGCTCACCTATGCAGAGCGTGACGTAAAGGAGCCCCATGCGGATGTCAAGGCGGAAGAACAGGATGGTGTTGGCCACTTTGCTGAACATAAAGATATTCCCTATGTGCTGCTCCACGGTGACTGCAATGCAGAGACAGGAATAAGGGATGGTGCCAGATTCCCCCAGGAGGCTGGGGGTAACTTCAGGAAGGGCTGGATCTGGTCCTCCAGATGCCACCCGACCCAGCCCCCCATGTCCCCTTGACTCACTGGAGCGCCGGTTCTTCATCATGACAATGGCGCTGAGGAACATGAGGATCTCCACCTCCCTCTGGCACAGAGAAGGAACAGCATGAGCTGCAAGTGCCCAGGACACCTTGGAGCCACGCCTGTCCTGGCCTGGCACAAGGACTAGTGGCCATGACAGGCCCTACGGCCCCAAGACCCTGCCAGAGATCAGACCCTCCATCCCTCCTGGGAGAGAACAGCGAGGAGAGGGGCTGCCCCGCGGCGACGGGCTCGACCCGTGCCTGGGGGGGACCTCTCGGCTGTAGGGCGACACTGCGGAGCAAGCCCAGGGGCTACTGGGCATCTCCTCCCTCAGCCGGGCCGGGGTGCTGTGTGAGCAGGAGGGGAGCCAGGACAGGGCCGGGGTGCGGGGACAGGCCCGAGAACAGGCCAGGGATGTGGGGACAGGTCGGGGGTGCGGGGACAGCGCCAGGGACAGGCCGGTGGTATGGGAACAGGCCGCGCCGCCTCACCCAGTCAAAGTCACACGGGTTGCCATCCTCCCGCTGCGAGGGCAGCCCACGGCAGAGCGGCGGGACCTTGCGTACGATCAGGAAGGCGGCGGCGAGCAGCGCGGAAAGCGGGTAGTAGGGCCGGGCGAGCCATCGGCAGAGCCCAGGCAGCCCCCACAGAAGCGCCAGCAGCGGCGCCACCACCGCCATCTTCCCTCCCCCCCCGCTCACTGCCGTGGGGGTGGAGCCTCCCCGCGCCGTCCAATGGCGACCTGGGGGGCGGGCGCACCCGTGAGCCTGCGGGCCAATGAGAGTAGAGAGAGACGCAGCCAATCAGAAAGCGGGGACGAGTCTCCCTTAGCAACGGGTGCAGGGGCGGTGCTCGGCCAATGGCGGGGCGGGGCGGCCCCGCGCGGGGCACGCCGGGAATATGGAGAACTTCTCGGCGCTGTTCGGCGCGGCCGAGCCGCCGCCCGCCGCCGCCGCCGCGCTCGGATTCGGGCCCACCAAGGCGCCGGGCGCCGGGGCCGCACCGCCGCCCGCTGCCTCAGCCACCGCGCCGCCACCGGGCGAGGACGCGGCCCGCAAGGCCGCCGCCGGCCCCTTCTACCTCCTTCGGGAGCTGCCAGGTGCGGGCGGGCCGCGGGGCGGGGCGGGGGCCGTGATCGGCCAATTAGGGCGGCGAACCGCTGCCGCGGGGACTATTGGCAGCGCCAGGAGCCAATGAGCCTGCGGGGGCGGGGTCACACAGCGCGCGGTGTGGTGGGGAAGTGGGCGGTGGGGGGTCCCCGAGGCCGACGATGCCCGTGATGGGGGGGTGTAGAGGGTCCCGGAGCCTGGGTACGGCTGGGGAGAGGGCCGGGGATCCCGGTGCTGGGGGGGTGCAGGGGGTACCGGGGCCTGGGCACGGCTGGAGGGGTGCAGGGGGTCACAGAGCCCAAGCACGGCTGGGGAGAGGGGCCTGGGGTGTCGTGGGGGCGTTTCCTCCTCCCCATCTCCTCCCGCGGCTGCACAGGCACGACGGAGCTGACAGGCAGCACCAACCTGATCACACACTATAACCTGGAGCATGCCTACAACAAGTTTTGCGGGAAGAAGGTGAAGGAGAAGCTCAGCAACTTCCTCCCCGACCTGCCCGGCATGATCGACCTGCCCGGCTCCCACGACAGCAGCAGCCTGCGCTCGCTCATCGAGAAGCCGCCCATCTGTGGCAGCTCCTTCACCCCCCTCACGGGTGCCATGCTGACTGGCTTCCGTCTGCACGCCGGCCCGGTGAGCCCCGGGGCCTGGAGCCGGGGGGTGGGAGGGGCCCGGCTTGGCCTGACCAGCCCCTTTTCTCCCCAGCTGCCCGAGCAGTGCCGGCTGATGCACATCCAGCCGCCTAAGAAGAAGAACAAGCACAAGCACAAACAGAGCCGCACGCAGGACCCCGTCCCCCCAGGTAAGGGCTGTCACAGCCTGGCCCCTGCTCTCCTTCAGCACCGGCAGAGCGTTGGCTCATCCAGTGCTTCCGCTTCCGCAGAAACCCCCTCGGACTCCGACCACAAGAAGAAAAAGAAGAAAAAAGAGGAAGATCCGGAGCGGAAGAGAAAGAAGAAAGAGAAGAAGAAAAAGAAGGTGAGTAACAAGGCTGGGGTCCAGTGTCCAGCCCGTGGAACCCCAAGGGGCTCTGTGAGTGGCCATCCCCAAGGGGCTGCTGCTGCCTAGCAGCTCTCACAGGCTCTGTCTGTCCTTCCTCTGCAGAACCGGCACAGCCCGGAGCACCCGGGGGTGGGCAGCTCCCAGGCCAGCAGCAGCTTACGGTGAGGCCACACCGGTGATACCCCAGGGATCCCCTGGCCCATGGGAACAGCCCCAGCTGACCCCAGGGACACTGGGGCTGGCCTGTCTCCCTGGCTAAGAGGACACCCCTGCAGCCCCCCAGGATCAGGGGCGCACAGACTCTGTGGGTGCTGACCTCGGGCTTTTGTACCTGAAGAACTTGGAGCCTCAAAACCTCTTTTTTAGTGACCTTTTAAAGTCTGCTCTGAGGAGGGGCTGGTGGCCATGGCTCCTCGGCTGTCATGGAGGAGCCCAAACCAAGGTCGCCCTGGAGCCTGCAGGGTGCTCTCCTTTGGATCCCAAACTTCACCAGCACCCACACCACATTCCCTGGAGCCACTTTTCCCATGCCTGGAAAATCCTTACCTTCTGTGGGAGCAGAGTTTGCCCAAACACAGCTCAAAGCGGTGCCTCCCCAAAACTGGGCCAAGCTCAGCTCTTACCAGACCCCGTTCTCTCTCCCCCTCGGGATCGGGGGGAAGGCCAAGACCCTGAGGATCAGGAGCCCTGGAAGGGCTGCTCCATCCCTGGATGCCAAACAAAGCACACGCACGGCCCTGGGGTGGCTCATTAAATATCCTTTTATTCCTTGTTTTTAAAATGGCTGATAATAATAAAAAACCCTGGCGTGGCTGTGTGGGGCCACGGGAGCTATTGCCGTAGAGAAAGAGTCCAGTAGTGCCGGCAGGGCTTTGGGGACAGGGAGCACGGGGCTCCTTGGCTGCGCTTTTTTTGGCATGTGATGAGAAAATATTGCTTTCCGGGGATGCACCTGCCTCTTCCCCGAGCGAGCGGAAATAAAAACACCCCTGCGACAGCGAGAAACTTCCTCGGAATCATTAACAGAAATAAAAAAAGGCAACAAAACCAACAACTGCCCCAACCACAGCCCCTGGGGAAAGAGAACAAAGAGCAAAAACTGCGGGTGGGGGACGCTGGGGCCTCTGCACCAGCTCGGGCTGGGGGCGTGGGGTGCTGCCCCGACCCTGGGGCACCCCAAGGGGGCTGGAGGCTGCGGACACCACAGATCAGGGAGGGAAGTGTCCAAGGATGGTACCCGGCACCCCATGGCCCCCTTCAGGAAGGGAACAGTGACACCCAGCACCTACCACAGCTCCTTCCATGGGTGCAGGAGACAGCCCCACATCCCTCCTTTGGGGACAGGGACAAGGTGGGGGTGCCCAGGCCCTGAGCAGGGTAGTTTCTTCCTCTCTCTGGGTAAGATATATAATTTCTGCTTCTTTTTTTTTTTTTAATATTTATATTTATATATATAGATATTTATATATACACACACCTGGTAACTCGGAAAGAGAAAAAAAATAGAATCCGTAACAATAATAATAAAAAAAAGTATTCTTGTTTAAAAACAATCCGTTCCTACCACGCCAGGCGAGCGGGTGATTGCACAAGGCCCACAAGTGGCTGGCGCAGCCGAGGCGGTGCCGGGGCTGCAGCCCCACCCCGAGCCCTCCCCGAGCCCCCCGCGGGTGCGTGCCAGCCCCCGAGGCCTGGGGGGGCACAGGGAGGAGCAGGGGGGGCCCCGCCCGGCTCTCCCGGGAGTCCACAAGAGTCTGGCAGAGGCGGGTCCCTGGGGGCCGCCGGGGAGGAGGGGAGGGGGCGGCGGCTCTGCCCCTCATACCGAGATCTCATACGTGGTGCCCCCCACTCCCGAGACCTTCTTGACACCTCCGCGGGTGGGGCTGCTGAGGGGCACCGGCCCCGGGCCCGGTGGGGCCGAGCCCAGGCTCTTGGGCTGCCCATTGGACTTGCTGTAGGCTGTTCTCATCTGCACCTCATCCCTGCAGGAAGGAAGCATGGACATGGGGTCAGGAGGAGAGACAGGTCACCAGCATCCAGCCACAGCCCTGCCCTCCCCAGGGTCCACCAGCACCCACTCCTGATTCCACGGGGTGACGGAGGAGGTGTGAGGAGCACTAGCTCTGTTCTGAAAAGAGCAGAAAGATTTCTCTTGCTCCTCACAGCATGTCCCCCCAGGAAGGGGTGTTCTCCTGCCCCAGGGGCTCGGAGGGATACTGGGTGAAGGTCCCCCCACAGGCCACAGACGCCCCTGAGCCATCACAGTACTCACTTTGGTGCCAGTAAGGGCTGCAAGGCCACCTCCTCGGTCTCGGGGCCGCCGGCCTGAGAGGCTGTTTTTTGGCTGCTGTAAGACACGGATTTGCCCAGGTGGGGGGCAGCGGGCGGGTCGGGGGAGCCCAGCGAGCGCACTCGCAGAGCCGGGGGCGGCTCGGGCTTGCCAAAGCGGGGCAGGGCCGGGCGGGTGAGCGGGTTCTTGCCCAGGGGCGAGCGCTTCGAATCGTCCGAGGAGGAGCTGGTGCGGGGGGCGTTGCTGGAGCCCGGCGTTGACTGGATGCCCGAGTCTGCCAGCCCCGCGTCCTCCTCCCGGCCCGGGGCCGTTGGCTGCTGCAGCAGCTTCTCCCGCTCCTGGATGGAGGCCACGATGTGGCGGGAGAGATTGTCATAGCGCACGGGCGAGGGATCGCGCGGCGCCGCGTGCTTGGGGGAGGCAGCGCTGGCGAAGCGGCCGTGCAGGTCGGTCTCTCGCTGCTGGGCGATGCGGGCCGACAGGAAGGGCGAGGTGTAGCCCACCGGAGGCTCGGGCTCCGGGCCTGCCTGCACTGACTCAAAGTCAGGGCTGTCGGAGGGTGTGAGCAGGCTGTCGTACGAGAGGCTGCCGTTGCGCGTCTGGTTCACCAGGCTCTTGTAGGAGGTGGAGGTGGTGCCCTCCGAGCGGATGGACTGCAGGTGGCCTGTCTCAAAGCCCGTGCCCTGGGCCGACTTGAGGCTGGAGGAGCGGGAGCCACTGGATAGAGGATCAAAGTGGAAGCTCTTGCCAAAGGTGGGCGAGCGGAAGCTCTCAGGTTCCAGGCTCGGCTCTGAGCGGTAGCTGGGCTTGTGGCCGCTGTCACAGATGGAGTTGGGCTCCTTCAGGCTGTTCACTCGGCTCAGCTGAGGGGCAGAGGGGCAGCAGTTACCCACAGAATGACTATGGCATGCTCCCTGCAGAGCTCCCAATGCACACCCTAAACCCTTCCCACACCAGGAATGGGGTGGCATCCCCTCGGGGCTGGTCCCCCGTGCCAGGCTCAGCCTTACCTTGGCACTGGTGGAGTGGGGCAGGGCTGCCGAGCTGCTGCTGCTGCTGTAACCGGGCCGGTACTTGTACATGGTGGGAGTTGGGGGGCTGTCCTTGCCTAGCAAGCTGCTGTCTGCGCCGGGAGAGAAGGGCACGCTCAGGGCGGCTGTGGACAAGGAACGGCCGAGCCCCGCCCTCCCTGCCCGAGAACCGACTCAGAGCCTGGGGCGGACAGACCGGGGAGAGGGATGGGCTGGAGGGAAGGTGCACCGGGGTGGGAGAGACAGACCAGGAGGAAGGGTTGTCCCCACAGCCACACGTGTGGGGCTGGCACTTCCGTGCCCCCGTGGCAGCCCCGGCTGGGTGACACCCTGGGGGTGCACGGCACGGGGGTGTCAGGGCACCCAATGGGGGACACACGTACACAGCACAGCCCTCAGTGGGCAGCAGGGCCGGGCAGCAGAACCTAGCCAGGGCTGGGAGAGCTGCGGGGTCTCCAGCTGCTGCGGGAAGCAGCTGCCACAGGCTCTGCCCATCACATCCCACCTCTGGCCAGGCCCACACAGAGCCGGCCACAGACGCTCTGTGCCGCTGAGCCAGGCCCGCCACCACTTCGCCTCCTCCGTCCTGGCAGTGCGGCGGCTGCAAGGCACAGCTCCCGGCAGCTCCGGACAGTGCCATGCTGGCTCGGCCTCCGGCAGAGCAGAGCTGGCTGCGAGCATCCCGCAGGCTTCTCCAAGGGCAAGGGGCCACATACACCGCCCAGGAATGCTGATGTGCTCCAGGTCTGCCCTACGGCCCTGGCTCTTGGCCTGCCTGGTGCAGCCCTGGGCTCCCCTCCCAGCGGCTGCCAGGGCACTGGTGCCCTCCTTACCCTCAGTGGTGGCCAGGGTTAAATGTGTCCTCAGGCCCGTGTAGCGGCTGAGGTCGGGCTTAGGTGGGGGTGGCGGCTCGGCGTCAGCAGACTGGCTCTCCGTCACCTCCAGGCTCCCCTTGGACTGCAGAGACAAAGCGCAGGTGGGGTCAGGAGGGGCCAGGGCCTCCGCCCCCCTGGGCTGGCAGGGCATGGACAGCAGCACTGGGGGCTCCTGCTGCCTCCCAGGCCATCCAACAGAACGGGGGCAGCGCATGCCCCGGGTGGGTCCTGGAAGTGCCAAGGATGGGGAACCTCCAGAGGGTGCTGCATGGGGAAGGATGGGACCAGTAAGGACAATGGAGGGGGCAAAGCCTCATGTGGTCACTGCCACATGGGAGGGGGACAGTTCCCATCCCGCAGGGACATAAAACAAGACGACACGGAGGGGGTCAGGGAACGTGACCAGGCTCACTCGGTTCTCTACTCACGGATGCAGGCTTGCACCCCTGGGCTCCGTGGAGGGCCCCAGCGCAGGCAGCGCTGGTCCCCACCTTCCTCACCTTCGTCCTTTTCAGCTCTGTCTGGATACCATTGTCCATGATCTTGACAGTGATCTGACCGTCCGACACCTCGGGCCGCAGGAACGGGGGTCTCACCAGCACCGTCTGCTCGGCCTTCGGGCGCCCAAGGTACCTGGGGAGGGCGTGGGAGGAAGGTCATGGCCTGGAGCCCGGGATGGAGCAGTTTTTCCAGGGATGCAGAGGCCAGGCTCACCTGGGGGCTGGGGAGCTGCAGAGGACCCGGCTGACATTCTTACAGCAACCGTTGGTGAAGGGGTTGACTCCCCCGCGGAACTTGCCCGTCACCTGTGGGACAAAAGAGTGTCACAGCCAGCTGCCTCAGGACATCCCCCCAGGATGGAGATACTCAAAGACCCTGCTCCTTTTCCTAGTCCCTATTTCAGTGCTCAGCCACCCCTGAGGGGGTAGGATCTCCTCAATTTCACCTCCTGGGCCCCAGAAGTGCCTCCCTAGCTCTATCCTCTGACTGCACCCCCATGGATGCAGTTGCCCCTCAGTCACCCTGTGCTCTACCTCCCCAGCTCAGGGGCCTCCCTGAGCTTTAATTCAGCCCCTCCACACCCATCCTCTGCTGAGAAATCCCAAAACCTGTAGATGGCCTGGTCAGGTTGGCATTCCTCTGGACGTACCTGTTCGTTGGTAGTGCGGCCCCTGGCCACGAGCACCACATGGAAGCCCGTCAGGCCAGCAACGGGAATGAAGAAGAGCCCGGCCACACACATCACCACCATCCTGCCACAGCCAGCTAAGGAGCAGCCACGGCCTCACTCGGCATCGCTCTGCCCCCAGACCCCACCACCCTCTGCCCGCTCCCACTGCCCAGGAGGATACGTGACGGCCATGCGGACACCGGAGAGCTCCTCCACCTGGTACAGGACGTAGAGCAGCCCGAAGCCGAAGACGCCCATGATGTGCGTGGTGAGCGACAGCAGGAACAGGAAGAAGTAGCGGTAGTTGCGCCGCCCGATGCAGTTGTTGACCCAGGGGCAGTGGTGGTCGAACTCCTGCCGGGGATGGGGCAGGGTGAGGGGGTGCTCGTGGGGCTCCCTGCCCCGTGGGGGGCTGGAGGAGGCCCCGGCAGCTCCTCACCTCCACACAGTTGTCGCAGACGCTGCAGTGGGAGCAGCGGGGCGGGCGGTAGAAGCGGCAGGTCGCGCACCACTTCATGCGCACCTGGATGCCCTTGATCTCCACCGTCTTGTACAGCGGGGCCCGGAAATCATCCTCCTTGTCCTCGTCCTCTTCAGCTGATGGGGACACCCCGGAATGGCATCAGGGCCCAGCCAGCCCCTGCCCGCCCAAGCCAAAGGCTCCTGGCATCACCTTCCTGTCACCCGGAACAGGGACAGCCAGGAATCCCCAAACACAGGCAGGGGTGGAGGCTCTCCCAGGCCCTGCCCCAGAATCCTGACACTGCCTGAGCCCCAGGGACCCAACATAGGGTGCTGAACCCAGAGCTGCCATCCCTGTAGGGCTTGTCACTGCCTGATCCCATGGGGCAGGGCGAGGAAGGCTCCCTGCCAGCCTTTAGGGACTCAGAAATCCCCTTTACCTTGGAGGAAGGGTGCAAGGAAGCAGCTCTTCCCAGCCAGAGCCAGACTCACCTCGTGGGAATATGCCCGGGTCCATGAAGGTGGCCATGCTGAAGTTGGCCAGCACAAAGAGGAAGACAACGGCATTGTAGGCAGGGATGACTGGGGATACGTAGAGACTGAGCCCGGGGCACCTGTGGGCACAGCAGCTGTGAAACCCTTGGACCCCTCACTTGTGTCGCTCCCGCTGCCTCCCACTGTCCTGGGAGCTCCCAGCAGCACATCCCACACCAAACTGGAGCCACTTCTACAGCACAGCCTCACCCCGGCCTGGGGAGAACCTGGGGGACACAGTGGGATGTGCTCCAGGCATCCATCAGGGAGCCAAATCCCCCTTCGTGACACCACTGGAAGGTCCCACAGAGCAGTGGTGTTGGGAACAGGGAAAACCACTCTGATGGCATGAGGGGCACCCAGGGGACCTGCCAGAAAGCACCTGGATATCATCCTCCCTGTGTCCCACCAGCTGCTTGGGGGCAGAGGGGATCCATGAGGGGACATGAAACCAGCAGCAGTTCTGGTGCCTCCAGAGCCACTCGTGCTCCACACATCCCAAAGACAGCTCTAGCAGGACACGGAGACCCTAACCAGCACCCAGCTCCTCCAAGAGGCCCGTGGGAGTACAGTGAGGGAATCACCCTGCTCCCTCCTGCCCCAGCGAGCGGGCTCGGGCTTCCCCCTTGGAGGCGCCAGCGTAATTCCCTAATCTGCTTTGCTGCTGGGATTTAATCCCACAGATCTAGGGCAGCATCTGTCCCTCTCTTCCCCCCACCAGGCTAAGTGCCGATGGATTTAGGTGGCTGGAGCAGCGTGGGGCTGGGAGGGCAGGGTGACATATGGTGCCAGAGCTGTAATCCCCCACAGGTTGGGGTGAAGGGGCAGGCGCTGGCCCTGTCCCCTCCTCCACCACCACCCACGGGGATGGGTCCCATTGCCGGGTGAGGCAGCACCATCCTTGTCACAGCAGCTCCGGAAGCCACGGCAAGGCTCTAGCTGGGAACAAGCCCTTGGTGCAGGGCTCTGTCCCAGCTCAGGGCCCTTAGGAGGGCAGAGGGGCACCCTGGGTGAGGAGCAGCAGCTGTGCCAGGGGGAATGCCCTGGGCGGGGCAGGAGAAGCAGGTACACCCTTCTGGGCACACACCTGGCAGCACAGAGGGTGAGGTGGGCAGGGCACTCCCAGCTCCGTGCACAGGGAGGGTGGGAATCATCAGTGGGACCTGCTCTCACAGGCCAAGGCTGAGGCTGCCCCCATCCTGGCACAGGGATGAGAGCAGGAGGGCAGATTTTTGGTTGCAGGGCATCCCCGGCAAGAAGCACAGCATGGCCAAACCACCCAGCACACTCCTACTCTCCTTCCTCCCCCCTGGCCCCTCCAGGTCCCACACACACCACACACCACACCTTTCCCAAAGCCTCTTCCCCCCTTGTTCCTCAGGAGCCGCCCTGCTGGGCACCCTGGGCACTGCCTCCCTGCTGCCTATCAGGCTGGCATCTCCCGGGATGGCACTGGCATCTCCCGGGATGGCAATGGGATCTCCCAGCCCAGCCCCCCCAGCTCTGCCCCGGGCTGGGGAGTGGCTCCTCGAGCGGCACCGGCCATGCCGGCCCTGCCGCCTCTGCTGGAAGCCAGCCAGGCAGATTCTCCACAGCTGGGACGGGCTGGAGAGGAGTCCTCCTCTCCAGTCTGTGCCCCAAAACCCTCGGAAAGCAGTGCTGGAGGCACAGCACCTACGTGACAGCACCAGGCCACAACTCAAGCAAGGGAAGAATCACAGAGTCATGGAATCACAGAATTGTTCAGGTTGGAAAAGCCCTCCAAGATCACCGATTCCAACTGCTTCCCCAGCACTGTCAGGGCCACCACTGAACCATGTCCCCAGGTGCCCCAGCCACATGTTTTTCGGTGACTCCACCACTGCCCTGGGCTGAACAACCCTTTCCATGAGGAATTTTTCCTTAACATCCAAACTAAACCTCTCCTGAGCATCACCTGAGACAGCTTCCTCTTGTCCCATCACTTGCTCCTTGAGAGAAGAGCCCAACCTTACCTGGCCACACCCTCTTGCTGTAGAGAGTGAGGACACACCAGAACCAAGGACCCCATGTCCCTGAGCTGAACTCCTACTCTACTTGAGAGAAGCCTCCCTGGCTCAGCTCTCTGCTGGACAAAGAGGGCCATGGGGCTCAGAGGAGCCCTAAAAGTAGGAAATGCCCTTCCAGAAACTCTGCGGAAGGAGCTCCTCTTTCCAGGAAGGGAAATCCCAGCCCAAACCTTTGCTTGAAAGAGATGGAGGGGAGCCAGGAAGACCCATGCCCGGGCAGCCATCCCACACAGGCAACAGCCAACAGCCAGGCTGAGCCAACAGGGCCTGGATCCTGACAGACAGAGCCCAGAGAGGCAGGGAAGGATCCAGCTGCCTCGGAAAGCTCTGGGGCAGGCAGAGAGGGAAGGATCAGGGGAAGGGAACACCTCTGTGCTGTCTCAGCAGTCGGCCCTTCCTGGAGGGACAACAGAGCTCCCAGGGCAGGACAGTGCCCAGCAGGTCCCTGGGCTCAGACATACTGACAAGACCCCTGAATGGGATTCACGGGCCATGGGAAGCACAACACCCTCCCTAAGGAACACCAGGACCTGCTGCCTTCCTGGCTCCCTCACACCCAGGGACCTCCGTGCTGGGGGAAGGAGGGAGGGAGGGAGCTAGGAATCCCCACAGAGACAGACCACCCGGTGGCACCACGCTGGTGATCCCAAAGTCAGGGAGTCACCTCCTGGGACCATCCCCATCCGTTGGAGGGATCAGGGTCCTCCACAGGGAGCAAAGGTGCTGCCCATCCCTGAGGGAACCTCCTTATCAGGAGAGTGATGTGTTCCTGCCTTTTGCTCTCCTGAACGGAGAGCCTCGACCCTGGGGCACACAGGGCAGGAGGAGCAGGAGCAAGAGGGAGGCTCCTCACCATCAAGGCTGGCCACGCAGGTCCCGCAGTACCCATCGGGCTCCCCCTCGGGATCGGGATGCAACACGCTCATGGCCACAGGAGCTGCCGGGACTTGTCCCTGGCAGCACATGAGAGGACTTGGGGAACCTCGGGCACCATGAGTCACACCGGGATACAGACGGGATTTTTGCTACCAGTCATGCCCGGAGAAGCCTGTCCCTCCCAGCTGGTGTCCCCTCCCCTCACTCCCTGCACTTCCCTCCCTGCCTGTTTCCCGGGGCTCCAGGCTCTCCAAATTTCCATCTTAAATCAGCAGCTGTCCGAAAGCCCAGCAAGCCTGGGACCCCCACACATCCCAGGGGGAGGTGGGAACATTCCCTCTCCTGCTGCCCCTCCCTGCAGTGCAACCAGCCTCATTTCCACAGCCACATGCTCAGCAGAAGCTCCTAATTAAATTAATCAATTAACAAGAGTTCTTGGCCCAGAGATACAAATCCTGGATGGACCAAAAGGCGTCCAATGGATAGGCTGGAAGCAACACAACTGGAGCCTGAAGAGTCATGCCAACCCCTGGCTGCTCCCTGCCTGGGGGAGGCCTCCCATGGCCCACTCTCACAGCTTCCACTGCACTTCCCAGAGGAGCCTTAGATTGGATGCTGACAGCAGGAAGGGCACAGTGGCCCCCAGGACCACGCAGGAGGCAAACCTCAAGCCCCACATCCCTGCCAACCTGTTCTAGCACCAGGTGGACGCTGTCCCAAGGGAGCCATCCTGCCGGGAGCAGCACAGCTCCCTCAGCCAAGCCCCGTGTGAACGCTGTGCCCGGGGTTTAATGGGATGCTCTGAAGTAGGATAAACAACATTGCTGACCTGCAATTACAGCGACCTGCCCCGGCCAAACCTGCTCCGAGGCGCCGGCTCTGGAGCTGCCTCTCACCACCCGCTGATAAGCGGCTGCTCCCGGCACTGCTCGCACCCGTGGCTGGGATGGGCTGGAGGTCCAGCTGTCCGGCAGCCACTGTGCCAAAACAGAGCCAGCCTGTCCCTAAGGTCACACACGGGGTGGCATACACAGCTCAGAGGGCACCGCCTGTTCCCTCTGCTTCTCCTTCATCCCCCTGGCACATGAACAACAGTCAGCGACTTCCAGAGGCGTCTGGCAGCCTGGAGCAGCCAAACCCCGAGCCCAGGAGCCTGGTGACCGCTCGGTGTCCCAGCGGGGGACAGCCACACGCTGCTGAGTGACACTGTCAGCTGCACCGGGCGCTGGATGGGGCGAACCAACCCCACTCCCCTCTTCATTCATCAAGCTCTCCTGTCCCTGCCCAGTGGCTGCCAAAGTGACCTTCCCACCACCACTGGCTCCTTCCCAGGGAGTGGCAGCAGCCATGGCACCCATCCTGCAGCTCCAGCTGATTCCTGTGGCCAAGCAAGAAAACCCCAGGAGTGGGAGAGGCCCCCTGAAGCAGAGGGTGCACGAGCTTCCCACACGCTGCCAGGACCCCAAACACATCTCTGCTGAGCCTCTGGGGATGCCCTGCAGGATTTGGTAGTCACGCTGTGCCATGGTGCCAGCCCGGCTGAGCCACACTCTGCCGAGCTCACTCAGCACCTCGAGGTTCTGTTCCCCCGCCTGTCACCCCCTGGGCACGTCACCGAGGCACGTGTCACCCAGCAGCAGCTCTTCCCAGGGATGTCACCACGCCTCTCTAGCACCCAGCACCATCTCCCAGCCCGGTGGCCCCCCCAAGGCCCCAGTGACCTGCTGGCCATTTCCCTGGGGCCCTCTCCAAGGACATGGAACCCTCGTTGCCCCAGGGCAGGGGACAGAACACAGCGAGTGATCCGCACAGGGGTCAGAGTTCTCCTCCCTGAACTTTCCTTTGTATCTCACTAATCGATTACGAAACTAAAAATAACACGTGTCCTGCCCCAGCCCACCAATCCACCTCCAAAGGAGAAAGTGATCCATGCGTTTTCCACCCACAGGTCACAAACCAGTTCCCAACCCAGCTGACCTGGAGCTGAGTGCTGCCTCACCAGGACTGCCAGCATGCAGCTTCCCCTGGGAAAACTCATGGAGTGAAATGGCTCCTGCTGTGGCTGCACCCAGAGCACAATATCCCCCTTCCCTCTGGGAGGAAATCCCAGCTCCTCTCCCCTGTCTTTGCCGGCCCTCCCCGCTCTGGCCGAGCAGCTGGGACTCACGTGAAGGCGAAGAAGAGGGTGGTGGCTCCCACTAGGAAGATGGCAGCAGCGGAGACCGGGACGTACTTGCTGGGTTTGAATCTCTTTCCAGAGGCTGCTGGCATGTTGGAGCTGTGGTGGGGGGTCCGCCCCGCAGCATAGCCCAGGCCCCAGGGGACTCAGAGCAGGACGAGAAGTGGAGGGGGACAGGGGCTGACCCCTACCCTGCCCCCACACCTGCTCCCGGGGCGAGCTCCGACCGGGGCGGACAGTCCGGAGAAGGCTCTGGAGCAGGAGGCCCAGGAGAGGAGCCCGCTCTAAGCTCTGCCCCGTGAGAGCTCAAGGGCACAGGGAAGGAGGGTTAAAAACATTAAAAATTCACAACAGAGAAGGGGATTTGGGTTTAGGACAACCGTTGGAGTAGGAATGCTTAGAGCCCTTCCAAGCCTCAGTCCAGGCAGCAGCCCACAGGGAGCAGGACTCCAACAGGCAAGCTCTGAAGGGAGGGAATTCCCCAGGCTCGGGCAGGGCGATTCCCACCCAGCCAGCACCCCGAGAAGAGCACAGGATCAGCAAACTCCTTGCAAAAAAGCCACTCCGGGAGCCTCAGGGAAGCAACTTCTCCTTTTTAATCCGCCTCTGTTGTGCCGCAGCCCCCGGTGCTGCACGGGAGGAGGGGGTGGTCTCTAAGCAATCCCAGCTTCCTCACAGAGCTGCTGTGCCTCCTCCTCCTCCCCTCGCTGGAGGGGTCACCGAAACACTCTCCCTGATTTCACCGGGATCTGGGGCTGGCTGGCGGTGGCCGTTTAATTTTATTTATTTCTCTCTTGGTCTGTTAAAGCCGAGGAACAGCTGGTGCAAGGTTGAGCTGTAAATCCTTTCTTTCGAGGGGGGCGGAGGGGAAGGTCTGGCGGATTGTGGGTTTTCCTACTTGCTCCTTTCTCCTGACCCCCCAGGCCCTTCCATGGGCTCAGTATCCACTTGGCAGTTGGGGAGTGACAGGAATTGCATTAAATCTTCTCTGCAGCAACCATTTCCCAGCAGGTGAACGGGAAGGGGGTGTTCAGGGAGTGCCTTTACAACCCCAGCAGACACCAAAGGGTGGAAGTGGTGCTGAGCAGCTCTGTCTCGCCCATGGCCCAGGCGGTCTTGGGGGAAACTTCAGTTTGTTCCAAACAGCTCCATTTTTCCCCTCCCCTTTCTTTGCTTAAAATCCTTCTTCATTCATCCATCCATCCATCCGACTTTAAAAAAAAACTACATAAAACCATTAAAACTCGAGGTCTGGTGCACCACAGCTCACCTGGAAAAATAAACAACAGAAATTAGTGTGGCGAGAGAAGGGATGGAGCCGGCTGTCATTAGCCACAGCAGCCTGGCCACAGCGTCTCCTGTCCCAGCCCAGGGGCACTGGCTGCTGCAGGAACTCCAAGCCACCCCCTCTACCAATGAGAAACCCACCCCAAGCCCTGGAAGAACTGGAGGGACACCATTAATTCCTTCCTGCAGCTCCGGCCCAAATCCCAGCACCACTGAGTGCTGGCTCCCGGAGGGGCAGGGGTTGAGCAGAGGCTCCAGGACTTAGCACAAGGGTGTAGACTACAGGAGGAAAAAACACCCAGGAATCTCACCCCCTTCCCTGGAGGGCAGGAGACAGGAGAGACCCATGGAAAATACCAATCCCATGATCAGAGATGGCCTTTGCAGCTCTGGATGCATCAGGAACTGCAGCGCCAGGACCAGAAGTGGATTTGAAACGACAGAGCTCACGGTTAGACAGGATATTGGGAAGAAATTCTCCCCTGTGAGGGTGGTGAGGCCCTGGTACAGGCTGCCCAGAGGAGCTGCGGATGCCACATTCCTGGAAGTGTTCAAGGCCACACTGGATGGGGCCCGGAGCAACCTGGGATAGTGGAAGGTGTCCCTGCCCACAGCCCTGATCTGCCCCAAGCAGCCACAAGCCCATCATCCATCATATCCCACCAGTTCCTGCTGCTACAGCCACCACTCCTCACCTGGTCACCGTCTGTCACCCATCCTCCATGGCGCTGCAGGTCCAAGCAGAGCCTACAGCTCACTCCTTTCTCCCTTCCAGCTTTCTCTGCCTCCCCAATTTCTCCTTCGGGGTGGGCAGGGAGCTCTCTAGCGCTGACTAAACGTGGGTGAAGGTTGGGAGAGAGCTGCAGCACCCAATTAAAGGCAGGTTTAATGACAAGGATGTGTTACCATCGAGTGGGCTCAGCCCCGGCTCACGGCGTCAGCCACCTTGGCTGACTCACCCAGGAACCGCTCCCGCCACTCGGCAGGACCGAAGCTCACCCCAAGATTTCCCTGCCCTTGGGAGTGAGAGCAAACATGGGACCAGTGCTCTGCAGGTTTCACCTGGCAGCAGCTCCTGAGTGGAGCAACTTGAACAGTAACGCCAGGGAAAGCTGTTTTCCGTAGCAGGGACAGAGTTCCCTGGAGAGCAGCAGTTTCCCAGCCCTGCTCTGCCTATTCGGGGAAGAGCCCAACACCCCACAGAGCCGAGCCCAACAGCAATTCCAGGGATGGGCTATCGGAAGTCCTGGCCTGACATCACGGCTGATTGCTTTAGCAGGAGCAATCTGCTCCCAGAGCACCCGGCCCTTTGAACGCTCCGCCATGGAGGCACGGCCACACCTCGGGTTCAAACAGACGCTGCCAGGCAGAAGGAGCTGTTCCCTGATAATTCCTCCTCCGGAGATCCCCACCCTGCCCTCGCAGGGCGCCATGGGCATGCGTCTCCTGGCCCTGCTCTGCCCTTCCAGACAGAGATCCAGGCACTCCAGCCCTTCCACAGGGTGATCCCTGCCGAGCTGTGTGTGCCAGAGCCAGCTCCCCACGGAATCAGGTACCCATGGGAGCAGGGGGAGAGCCCCAGTGCTGCCTTTAGTGACATCCCAGCGAGAAGCGATGCAAATGCATCCCTGCTCCAGCTGCCTGTGCGTGGAATATCTCCACAGCTCATCAAACAGAACTCCCCAGCCCCAGCCTGCTGCAGAGGCTGAGGCAGAAGCTGTCAAAGTGCAGCAGAGTGCACTGGCATCTCTGCTCTGCAATCCTTAAGGAGAAAAACAATGAAAATCCACCCCAAATTTCCACGTATTATACTTAGGCCCCAATTCTCCCAAACACACATATTCTTTTCCAGACATCCCTTTTCTCAGTCCTACTACCTGCCCGTCTCTGGTTAATCGACCCTTCCTTTCCCTCCACCTTTGCCCAAATCCTCTGTCTCTCTGGCCACTTTGTCCCTATCCACAAAGGCCACTCACAAACTTCTCTGCTTCAAAGAGTTCCCAACTTATCTAGCTTACCTGTGGCCTACATGGGCTCTGCTCTTGCCTCCCATTCCTTTCCCTCTGCCAATTCCAGCCCAGCAACTCCTCCTCTCCCGCTGCTCCTCCAGACCTGCCCTGCTCCTTCCTCCCCCAGTGCCTGTGTCACTGCTCACTCCCCCTTCCCTCTCCCCCAGAAATTCCACCTGGTTTTCCCATCCCAGCACCTCCTCTTCGGAGCACTTTCCCAGTTCTGCTCTGTTCAGCCACCTCTGGAGAAGTCATCTCCACTCTCTAGGGTTTCCCTCCACTCATACAGGGGAGCTGCTCCTGTTTCCTTCATCTCCATTTCTGGGGATTTCTTTTAATTCCAAATTCCCTCTCTTGGAATATGTGCAAGCACGACTGCTGCCACCTTCCATTTCTTTGAGCCTCCCTCTCCTTTTCTTGGGTCAAGGCCCTGCAAAACCTCACTGATTTCCTCCTTTAACTTCCCTCCCCGCCCCATGCTCCTCCTTTCCTGCTTCCCACCCCACTCTGCTCATCTGCTCCAGACCCTCTCCAGCCTTTCCACATGTATCCAGGTGCTCCATGGCTTGTCCCTTCTGGAGCATGAGGCCCTCCCCACCTCTGCTGGGACAGTGGCTGGACACGTGTCTCCAGCTCCCAACATTTCCTCCTCCCTCACTTCAGCTTCTCACTCTGCTCCTGCCCAGGAAGGAGGAAATGCACTTTGGCATCAACCATGTGGCTCCTGCCACCCCAGGAATCCATGGCACAGGCAGGACAGAGCTCCCTCCCGGTTCCCAGCTCCCAAACCTGCGTCACTCGCCGGGATCCGCAGCTCCCGACCTGCCCCAATCCAGCTGAGTTCCCATGGTGCAGGGCAAGCACATAAACAATTCCTTCCATGTGAGGCAACTCCCAGACAGGGCAGATCCCGGGCTGCACGGAGACGGGATGTGCTTTACCTGTTTCCCACTTTGTTTTGATCAGCTGCATCCCAGAGTTTCATAGAGCCAATCCAGAGCTCGCTGCCTGGCACAGTGAGTGAGTGAGTGAGTGAGTGAGTGAGTGAGTGAGGAACTCCCTCTGCTCACTCTGCCCTTCCACAACCAGCTAACACTTCACACTCCAAAATCCATCAGAGAAAGTGAAAATTCTCCCAAACCTGGCACTGTGGCCGGAGCAAGAACAGCGTGAGATCACCACTGGTCACTGCCCTCCATCCAAACAGGAGCACCTGCCCCAACAGGGCAGTGTGGGGACACTTCCCTGCTCTTAATTCCAAAGGAGAATGCACAGCAACGTATGGCATTCCTGCACACCTGCCTTTCTCCTAGGTGGATGTACAGAAGGATCAACACAGAACATGGAGAAATATTCCACTGCAGACAGCCAGAAGGCGGGAATCACTTCGTGCTTATCTCCTGCCTAGAGCTTACAACGATCCCATCCTCCTTCCCCAGCCCAACCCGCTGGTTTACACGGGATTAGCCCCATTTTATGGGCAAAGCAAGAGGAACAATGCCTCATCCATTGAGGCCGCGTCCCAACGGGCCCCACAGCGAGCAAGGACAGCGCCAGCCTCTTGTCACTGCATTAGGAGACACCAGGCACAGCGACAGGTGGGAATGTCCCCAGACAGGCCCCTCACAGGGGAGTTCAAGGTCTCCCCTTGGACCCACCCGATCACCACCCTCTCCATTCCCGGATGAGGCTCCTGGCCCCGGGAACCAACAGGAATAAAGCAGCACTTAGACCCGACGGAAGGACAGTGGTAACTGGATTAAGCTCAGAAAGAGGCTCCAAGATAACTCCGGCTTCGATCAAGACAAGTCTCGTTGTACTTTACATGCCCCAAAAAACCCGAGCAGCCCCTATTGCAGAGAATCCCGCTTCTCTAGTGCCCAAATCCAGCTCTGTGCCGGGGCGGGAGCCGGCAGATCCGGGGGAACCACTTCCCAGAGCCACGGGGAGCACAAGGGCAGCCGATCCCCTCCCGAACCGGCGCGGTGCAACCCCGGGGCTGGGGACCTGCACAGCTCAGGTGTTGGGGAAACTGGGAATTCTGAGGAGAGGCAAGGCTGGATCCCTGCCAGTGCCCCCAAAGCCGGGAGCAGGGGCTGTGCCGTGAGAAGAGGCCGTGTCGTAAGCAGGGGTCTCCTTCGGCCTCGGCACAGAGGCCGAGCTCCGGCGCCCCAAACCAGCACGGTAACTGTGCTCCCGGGGACACCGGGGACAGGCCGGGTGCGGGACATGCCCCGGGAGCTCCCTGCGACAGCGCCCGGCCCCGGGCGGGTTCCGGGCGCGGGGACGAGCCCCGCTCCGGTGCGCAGGGGTGGCTCCAGCCCACGGGGCACTACTCCCCGCCAGCCCCGGGCACCGCTCTGAGTGGCACAGGAAAAGGTCCCGGTGCCGCTGGGACCGCGGGCACGGCAAGCGGGGACAGAAGGAAGCGGCGCTCCCGTGCAGCGGCACCGCGACCGTAGGGCAGGCGGCCGTGCGGAACGGCGGAGCGGGGCCGCGGCCAGAGGAACGGGCCGGGCAGGGGTCGGTGCACGCCGGGCAGGAGGGTCCGCGGGGCGGCGGGGGAACGCAGGGGCACAGCCCGAGCCGCGCGCGGGGGGAGCCGCAGGAGCAGCGGCGGGGCGGGGGCGGTCGCGGCCGGGCCCCGGAGAGGGGCGCGAGGGGCCGGCGGGCTGGGGAGGCGGCGGCGGTGCCGGAGCGGCACGGTCTCGGCGGGGTCGCGCGGCCCACGTGACTCACCGGCAGGAGGCCGCGCGCGGCGGCGGCTCCGGGCACGAACGGCGGCGGCTGCGGCGGGCGGGACGTCACGCGCGCGCGTGCGCACCGCGCCCCCCCGCGTGCCTCCATTGGCCGCCTCCCGCTGGTCCGCCCCGGGAGCGGCGGCGCGCATGCGCAAGGCTGTAGAACGGGCGTACGCACTCACGCCGCGGAGGGCGGGGCCACAGCCGGAGCCTCGGCGCCTGCGCGGCACGTACCACACCGGGTGCTGGAGGGGCGAACGGCGGACGGCCGGGAGCGGGCGCTGCGCACTTCGGGCGCGGGGGGAGCCCGGGACCGGCAATCCCCGCTCCCCTCGGGGACCCCCCACCCTCAGTAGACGCTCACCAGCGGCAAAGGCTTCCAGATTTAATAGCAAACCATACAAAAAGTATAAAACCAAAGGGTGGATGCTGCACCAGGGTCGCACCACACTGGGGAACGAGGAGGGGGACCAGGAATGAGGAGGAGGTAGGGGGCACATCCCGCCCTTCCCCTACTTGAGGTCCATGAAGCGAATGTCCATGATGAGTAGGAAGTTCTTGGGGAGGGGGCGTGGAGCCGGGGACAGCACGGTGAAGACCTGGCGTTCCAGGTCCACTCCGGTGACCACGATGAAACCGGCCACGCTGGTCTCGGAGATGTTGTCGTCGGGGCTGTCGGCAGTGCTGACACTCAGCAGGTGGTGCACCATGTCCCTCCCCGGTGTCACTGGCACCAGCTTCAGCTGGTTGTCCTCCTGTGACATTCCCAGCGGCAGGCACGAGTCTGGGATGGTGGGCGCGCCCACCTTGTAGATCTTGACGTCAGAGAACTTGACGTCGAAGGCGTGGGGATAGAAGCAGCCGCGGAAGCCGTAGAAATACTCGCGGATGCGCTCGTCACGGCATTCCCGGCGGAAGTCCTTGGAGCGCTCCACCACGCCGCCAGACTTGGGCAGCAGCACGGTGCGCACAAAGTGGGGCAGGTCCCGCTTGAGCTCATTGTAGAGGCGCTCCTGGTCCAGCACCACCACCACGTCCACCTCGAAGGCGGAGGCGGCGTGCACCAGCGCCTGGTAGCCCGAGCTCTTGACCCAGCCACAGGTGTTGATGACGCAGCCGCTCACCGATGCCCGCCGGTTCACCTCGCACCGCTGGTTGAAGACATCGGCCAGGCACGACGTGATCTGCAGGAGGAGGGGTCACTCAGAGGCACCCGTGTCCCCACACTCTCCCCAGGTCCTTCAGAACCCTCACAGCCTCAGTTCTGGCTGGCCACTCAGGGCAAAATCGTGGAATTGTGGAATAGTCTGGACTGGAATGGACCTTAAACCCCATCCAGTTCAACATGGCAGGGATATATTCCTCCAAGCCCCATCCAACCTGGCCTTAGGCACTTCCAGGAATGGGGCATCCACAGCCTCTCTAGAGAACCCTGAAGGGCCTCACCATCCTCACAGTAAAAGAATTTCTTCCCAATATCCCCCCTAAATTTCTCCTCTCACTGTGAACCCATTCCACCCCATCCTATTACTCCAGATCCTGACAAAACTTCCTCTCCCGCTTCCCTGTGCCCCTCAGGATGGAAAAGGCTGCTCTGAGGTCACCATACAAACTTTGCTCCTGAACTGCCCTATCTCTCCTAGCCTGTCTCCATAGGGGAGGTGCTCCAGTGTCCTTACTCAACTTCGTGTCCTCCTCTGGACTCCCTTCCCACTCTGATCCGACAGCTGGGACGGGGCAACTGCCTGTGCACGAGGCTGCAGCTGTTTTTAAAATGCGTTGTGCTATCCCCAAACAGCAGCAGTGGGAGCACCCCGCGGATTCAGACACCCTGAAGTGTGTGGCGGGGGGAAAGCCTGGGGAACTCTGGGGCCAGATCCAAACCGGGGCGAGCCCCCCGTGCTCACCTTGTTGTAGAGCTTGATGTTGGTGCCGGGCGTGGTGGAGCCGAAGTGGTAGACGAGGGGGGCCTGCAGGGAGAAGCCCTCCTCCACGTCGGCCGGACGCTCGATGTACAGCGCGCCCATGGTGCCGGGGATGGACACCGAGCCCTGCCCCACGTCCAGCTCCACGAAGGTGGGCCGGCGGCCCAGGCGCACGGCGTAGTTGAGCAGCAGGCGGCACACAGTGGTCTTGCCCACGTCGGTGGGCCCCACCACCATGACGCGGGGCCCGCGCTCGTCCTCCCGCTCGGCCTGGCGCCGCATCTGCTCCAGTGCCGTGTGCGTGTTCAGGTACAGCAGCATTGGCGTGTCCCGCGACACGTAGGCCACCTCGGTGCGGCCGCTGAGCTGCACGGTACAGCCGTGCCACGTGAACACGGCCACCTTGGCGCCCGCGTCGAACGTGAACTTCTTGTTGCGGGTGAGCTCGGTGCCGAATACCTCGGCCATGCCGGTCAGCAGCTCCAGCTGCACTGTCTGCGCCGCCTCCACCTCGAACCGCAGCTCCGTCTCCCGCTCCAGTTCGAACTTGGCCACCTGCTTCTTCTCCTCGCCGCCATCGTCCGCCATGACGGCGACGCGGGGGTCGCCGGCCCGGTGCCCCCCGCCCGCCGCAGCCGCGACGGAAGTGACGTCAGAGAAACGCGCCGGGAAAGCCGGGGGCCATGATCACGTGGTATTATCGGTCACGTGTGAGGGGGCGTGTCCTGACCGTCTCCCGCGGGTCGTTTGCATCTTATTTGCATATTCCCCGCGGCCCCTCCTCTAGATTGCATCTCATTACAGTGGAGCTCCGCCTCTACCCTCCCGCCTCCGATCCCTCGGGACGAGTCCCGGGCTCGTTTGCATGACGTTCGCATGACATTTACAAGCAGTCCCTCGCCCCGCCCCCTCCCGCCTGATATGCATCTCACAGGGGTGACACGGGGGATATGAGGGAACAGGGACACACGGAGGGACACTGGGGACAAGGGAGAACACGGGGACGTGGGGGGACAAGAGAGACGTGGGGGGACACGGGGGACAAGGGATACGGGGGACACGGAGGGCCGGGGTAACCACGGGGACATGAGAGACCGGGAGGTGCTCCGGCGGCCGCAGCGCATCCCCGGCGGCCGGGCTGACGTTGGAAGGCCGGGCGGTGACGTCACGGCGGCGGTGGCGGGTGGTGACGTCACGGCCGCGGGATGAGTCACGGTGCCGTGATGCGGCTCTCGGGCACGCAGGGCCCCCCCGCGCCAGCCCCGGGGACAGCGGCGACAGCGGCAGCGGCGGCAGCGGGGACAGCGGCGGGCGGTGAGCGGCCCCGGCCCCCAGGAACCCACGGAACCCGGTACCCCCCCATCGTGTCCCCCAGAGACCCCCAAAGCGTCCCCGTCGTGTCCCCTAGGGCTCCTGACATTGCCCCCCCCACGGCGATACCCCTGTTCTCCTTCACCGCGACTGTAAACATCCCCCCCAGCACTGTCTCGCTTCCCGGGGACCCCCGTCATTCCTGCCGGGACCCACAATCTACCTCTTGGGACCCCATCATCGCATCTTGGAACCCTCATCAACCCCCCGTGAGGACCCCCAGCATCTCCCTGTCGAACTCCCATCACCCTTCCTCCGGTTCCCTATTCACCCCCGTTCGGTACCCGCAGTTTTCCCCCTCAGGATCCCCATCATCTCCCCGGGGACCCCCACTCTCCAGGAACTCCCAGACGCTTCGAGAAGAGACTCCAGACCCAGCATGGGACGCCCCCCCGTCCCTCGGGACCCCCCTTGCCCCCCTCGGTTCTCTCGGTGTCCCCGCTGCCCCTCACTTCTGAGATGAACCCCGCGGTCTCAGCCGGCTCAGGACGTGGAGCGCCCACACCTGGGAGATTGAGAAGAGGGTCTTCCCTCACCGCCCCCCTTCCCTCTTCACAGGCCGCCCCCCTTTTCCGCCTCCTTCTGCCGGGGGGCCCCGGCGGAGCCTCCCGAGCCCGTCCGGGCGGGACGGCGGCTCTGGGCGCGCTGCTGCGCTGCTTCCCCTGCGAGCGGCTGTGCGGGGGCTGCGCGGTGCCCCCCGGGGCGCTGCCCCCGGCCATGCCGCCCCCGGCCCGCCGCCGCCTGCCCCCGGCCGCCCGCCTGCCCCCGCGCACCTTCCGCAGTTACCTGCCGCGCTCTCACCGCACCTACAGCTGCGTCCACTGCCGGGCGCACCTGGCCCGCCACGAGGAGCTCATCTCCAAGGTGCCACCGCCACCCCCGGGCTGCGTGGGGACACCCCGTCGTGTGCTGGGACAGTGAGAGTCCCCCTTGCCGTCTCCCCGGGGGGATCTTAGGACAGCGGGTGTCCCTTCGCCGTGTCCCGGGAGTGTTGAATTTCTCCCCACGGTGCCCCTGGCGCGCCCAGTGTCCCCCTGTGGTGTCCCCAGGGTGGTGAATGCTCCCCCTGTGGTGTGCCGAGATGAGGACATTCCCACAGTGGCCAGTATTGCCCCGAGGCAGGAAGCATCTTCCCCACACCCCCCCCACGGCGTGGTTTCCTAGGGGTGGCAGGTAACCCGAATGGCGCTCCCATGGAGGTGACCGTCTCCCCCTCAGTGTCCCCGAGTTGGCAGGTGTCCCCCTGCGCTGTCCCCAGCCTGGTGGCAGTGCAGCAGGATGGGGTAGGACATAAAGGGAGGGGTGCTGGAGGACGTGGGGGACCTACCAGTGATACTCGCCGTGTCCTCACAGTCCTTCCAGGGCAGCCACGGCCGTGCCTACCTGTTCAACTCCGTGTGAGTACTGGGGGCACCGGGGATGGCAGTGAGGAGAGGGAGCCCCGGGGGTTCCCGGGCTGGCTGTGCCGAGCCTGTGGGACACCCCACTCTCGGTGCAGGGTGAACGTGGGGTGCGGCCCGGCTGAGCAGCGGCTGCTGCTGACGGGGCTGCACTCGGTCGCCGACATCTTCTGCCAGAGCTGCAAGACCACCCTGGGCTGGAAATACGTGAGTGCCCTCCAGATGGGACCCACACCTGCTGTAGGCACTGCCTGGGGGCCCCAACCCCTGTCTGAGCACCCCAAACCCTTCCATGGGCATCCCTGGTCACCCTAAACCCTACCCTGGGCATGTCTTGGCACCCCAATCCCTGCCATGGGCACCCTCTGCCACACCAAATCTTTGCTGTGGACACCCCCAAGCCCTGGGAAGGCAGCGCCCATCGGGGTATGAGGGGGAGCTGACACTGTGTCCACCCCAGGAACAGGCATTCGAGAGCAGCCAGAAATACAAGGAGGGGAAGTTCATCATCGAGATGTCGCACATGGTGAAGGAGAACGGCTGGGACTGACGCAGATGGGGCGCAGATGAGACTTGGGGGGCACGTCGGGGAGCCCTGGGTGACCCCCTCCTTGGCACCTTCCCTGTGCTCCCCGGTGCCCCCTGGGTGGCACCAGCCGCGGGAGCTTTGGGGCTTTTCTAGGGCAATAAAGGTTTTTTTTTTTTAGGAGGGTGCTGGTTGTCACCTCCCCGCGGCGCTGCCACCAGCCCTGGCTCACCCTGGCACACAGGCCGGCACAGAATGGGGGTCCCTGGTGGCCCCAACCTGTCCCTTCCCCTTCTCACACGCAGGAGTCGGGGGGTGTTTGATGCATTTATTGGAATCCCGAGCTGGCGGGGAAACTGAGGCACGGGAGGAGCAGGGACCTCCTGGTGCCCTGGGGAGCTGGGGCGTGTGAAGGGTGAGGAGATGGGAAGGGAGAGGGGAGAGATGGGAGGGAGAGAGGAAGGAAATGGGGAGAGGGACAAGGGATGCAGAGAGAAGGATAAAGGAAGGGATGAAGGCAGGGAGGGACAAGGGGAAAAAGGATGGGAGGAAAGAGGAAAGGAGTAAAGGAGAGAGAGAAGGAGGGAAGCAGGGAGATGAAGAGGCAGGGATGGAAGGAGGAGGGAGGCGAGAGGGAAGGATGGAGGGATGGGAGGAGTGAGGACAGGGACAGGAGGGGCAGGGGGGTCAGGGCTGGGGGTCGCTGAGACGGCCCATGAAGACGGGGAACTCGCCGGTGTTGTGCCAGAGGACGAAGAGGAAGGGGCGCAGGGCTTCCAGCACCAGAGCCGAGCGCGCCACCGAGGTGGCCATGGCCGCCGCCGCCTCCACGCCGGCCTCGTCCAGGGACAGCACCGCCCGGTGCTGCGCCGTGTCCACCGCGGCCGGGCCCTGCGCCAGCCCGCACAGCTCCGCATCCAGGAACAGCCCGAAATCTGCGGCACCCGGCCTCAGCGCCACTCCCGCGGCACACGGGGACACCGGGGGCCGAGGGGACACCAGGGACGGAGGGGACACCAAGGAGACCCAAGGACACAAGGGATCCGGAGAAAATCAGGGGAACAAGGACATCGAGAAGCAGGAACACAAGGGACAGTGGGGATAGAGGAGACACTGGGACACAACAGGGACACTGGGGGGCGCCAGGGGACACTCAGGGATACGGGAAACCCCGGGGAGATGGGGGATGTGTGGGTCGCCGGGGACATGAGAGACGGCAGGGATAATTTGGGGACACTGGGACGTAAGGGGACATTAGGGGCGCTGGGGGGAGCAGGGCACATCCGGGGCAATGGGGACATGGGGGACACCAGGGACAAGGCACTGTGGGGGGGACTCAGGGGAAACCAAGGGATACCAGGGATAATGTGATTTTTGGGGACCCTGGGGAAAGTGACCCCCAGGGGAGGGGCTCCTGCAGGGACCAACGTCACTGCACATGGAGTGATGTGACCCCGCAGCCCACCCAGCCCCTGCGGTGCCATCAGAGGTGTCCTTACCCATGTCGTGGACCAGAGGCACCACGTCCAGGGCGATGTCGAGGCGCAGGCGGGGCAGGGACAGCGCGGTGGCCCGGGGCGAGGTGCGGGCCGCTCGCCGGAGCAGCGCCAGGAAGGTCGTGGGGTCCAGCGCCCGCTCCAGGGTCTCCAGAGGCTCCAGGGGCCCCCGTGGCATCAGCACCACGAGGCTCAGCCCCCCATTCAGCTCCAGCCGCCCCACCTGAGGGGCACACCCCCACCTAAGGGCCACCCCATGGACCGGCACCCCCATAGTGCCACCAGGGAGGTGCCAGCCTGGCATCCCTCAAAATCCCGAGGGGGCGAGGTCACAGCCTGTGCCCCTTTCAGCGCCAGGGGAATGACATCAGCCTGGCATGCTCCCCGAGTGCCGCAGGAGTTATGTCACAGCCTGGCATTCCTCCTTAGTGCCACTGGAGTGACATCATGCCATTATCCCCCCCAGCAGTGACCCCCCCAGACCCCAAGCACCGGTCCCGGCCAAGGGGTACCTGGACCTGCAGGCGGGAATCGGTGAAGGAAGCCACCGGGTACTTGGCGCTGGTCATGGTGAGCACCTTGCGCGGGGGGTGCCCGGGCCGCAGGAAGGGCAGCAGCACCGTCTTCTTGCGGTCCAGCGGCGTGCGCCAGGCGGCTGTGGGGACACGGCACCGCGGCTGGGGGACTTGGGGCACCGGGGGGCCGCATGGGGCAGCCTCAGCCCCGCGCCTCGTGCCAGGGGGAGGCCCGGAGGATGGCGGGGGGATAGCGGGGTCGTACCCCGCAGGTGGACGGCGCTGAGCAGCAGCAGGCGGGGCTCGGGGGGCAGCGCGGACAGCAGCGTGGGCAGCAGCCCCTTGCTGGCCTCTCGCACCCAGGCATTGATGCGCTGTAGGTCCAGGCTCTCGTTGCCGCTCAGGGCGTATGGGCGGGCGCCGTAGAAGCGCAGGGAGTCGTTGAGAAAGCGGGGCCGGAGGTGCAGCTCTGCGGGGCGGCACGGTGCCGGTGTCAGCCCGGGTGCCCAGCCGACAGCGGCGCCTCACGGGCACCCGATGCCCGCCTCACCTGGGTGGTGGAAGATCTGTGCGGCCGAGAAGAGGCCTGGAGTGCTGGCCAGCTGTTTCAGGGCGCCATGCACGCAGTCCAGCTCCTGCGGGTACGCCAGGAGGGCGGCCAGACGCTCCTGGGTTTCTCCGCGGGCACCTGCGGGCAAAGGGGAAGCTCGGCGAGGTGTCCCGGCTGGGACAGCAGTGACACGGCAGTGACCATGGGCAGCCCCTCACCCAGCAGCAGGTGCGAGAGCCCCATGGCGACGTTGATAGGGGAGAAGAGCAGGTTGGCGTCGGGCTGAGCAGCCTCTGCCATGTGCTGGTAGAAGCGGAGGGCAAAGGTGACCAGAGCCTCGGCCACGGCAGCCCGTTGCTCCCCCGTAGGGTCCCCGCAGGTGTCAGCCGGCTCCTCGTCCCCAGGGCACGGCGGGGCGCTGGTGCCAGCCGTGGGCACTGCCGTGGTTCCATTGGCGGCGGTGTCCAGCTCCTCCGGTGCTCCCTGCGGCGCTGTGGGGCTGGGGGCATCGGTGACACCCCAGCCAGGCAGCCCCTCGGCGGGGGCGCTGGAGGTGGGCTCGGGCAGGACTGAGGTCCCCACGTTCTGCGAGGGAGCTGGGGTACGAGCAGGGGGCACAGGCGATGTCAGGGGCTCTCCAAGCAGTGTCATCCAGCTGGGAGAGGCCTCCAGAGTGAGCACCTGGCCACAGGGACTTGCTTCAGGAGGGTATGGGGCACCCTTGTGGGGGAGTCAGGTGAGGGGGTGTAGAGAGGTGTCGGGCAGGGGGAGCCCGTGTCCCTGGGCCGCACTTACCGGGGTGACAGTGACCGTGGCTGTTGCCACTAGCCACGCCAGAGGCAGCCAGAGCGTCTTGGTGGGCATGCTGGTGGAAGGGCACAGGTCAAGGGCAGGACAGTCACCCAGCACCCCCACCCCGGCACCCTGCACCACCCGTACCCCCACCCCTTGCAGCCCCACCCCGGGGTGTCCCCGCTCTGTCCCCCCGGCTGTGGGGGGTGGGAGGAGGCAGAACCCCGCGCCCACCTGGGTGCCCCGCGGGTCAGCCCCTGAGTGTCCAGCGAGCGCCGGGGGATCTGGCCGGCTCCGACCCTGCCTGGTTAAAAATTAAGGAGGTTCCCGTAAATCAGCCGGGACACGTCCGGTGATGCGGGGGCAGCCGTGGGGGACGGGCAAAGGGGTGTGGAGGCAGCCAGGACGCGGCCCCGCGTCCGCGTCCCGTTTTGTTCTCGCCAGGCACCCTCTGCGCTTTCTGTCACCCCCCACCCGGGGTGACGGGGGTCGCCGGCCGCCTCAGGCCCATCTGTCCCCACCAACCCGTGCGAGGGGCGCGGCCGGAGAACCTCCTCCCGCCGGCCCAGAGGCGTGACTCCACGAAGCCCATCCCCGTGGCACCGGGCACGGATGACCATGGCCAGGCGGATCGCCCAGGTGAGCATCGGGGGCACCGGCACACGACCAGGGGGTCCTGGGTTCGCACCGGAGCGGGGGCTGGGGGAAGCCGAGCTCACGGTGTGGGGGTCCCGGTACCGGGGTGCCAAAGGGAGTTCTGGGGAGTGTTAGTGCGAGTGCGGGGATACAGGTACCGAGGTGCGGGAGAAGCGGTGTTGGGGGATGTAAGTGCCCGGTGAGGGGGTCCCGGTACCGGGGAGAGGCAGTGCTGGGGGTGTCAGTGCCGCTGCGGGGGTCCCGGTGCCAGGGTGCGGGAGAAGCGGTGCTGAGGGGTGTCAGTGCCAGTGCAGGGGTCCCGGTAAGGGGAGAAGCGGTGCTGAGGGGTGTCAGTGTCGCTGCGGGGGTCCCGGTGCCGGGGTGCGAAGGAAGCAGTACCGGAGTGGAGGGTCTCCTGTGCGGGGGTGAAAAATACCCCTGCACCTTTCGGTTTCGTTTCCCCGTCGGGGCGGCCCCCCAGGGGTGTGCCCAGCATGCCGTCCCCGCCCATAAAGGTGTGTCCGATAATTAAACCCTGCCTATTAAGGCGCGGCCTGCAGGCGGCCCCGCCTAGAGGCGCGTCCAGCTGGAGGATTGACCTATGGAGGGGTCTCTCGGGACACACCTCCGCCCTAAAGGGCGAGTCCCGAACGGTCCCCCCACACGTCCCACCCCTTCCCGCAGGAGCTGGAGGAGGCGCGGAGCTGGGAGGGGGCCCACGACGTGCGGCCGCTGGACCGGAACGTGCGGCGCTGGACGGGGCTGCTGCTACCCGTGTGTGGGGAGAGGGCACGGGGAGACGTGGTGGCACGGAGGGCTGCGGAGAGTCCTGGGGAGCGGGAGCTGTGGGGGTCCCCTGGGGGCATGGGAGGGACTGGGGGTGACCCTTGGGACTGGGACTGTCTCACTGAGTGAGGGTCCCTCTCAGGAAGAACTGGGGAGGGTTCCTCTGAGGACACTGCGGTCCTGGGTTGGGGACACTGCGTGGAGGTTCCCTTCCTGAGAGGCTCGGGCTGGCACGGTGGAACCTCTGCGGGGGGCACTGGGTATCAGGGCTGGACAGGGCCCCCTCCCCCGATGAACGCTGTGGCAGAGGGGGCTGAAGTGCTCCCCATATCGCGGCAGAACAACCCCCCATACAACACGGGCGCCTTCCGCTTCGAGCTGACCTTCTCTCTCAACCACCCGATGGAGCCCCCCTGCGCCACCCTCCGCACCCCCATCTATCACCCCAACGTGGACCTCGAGGGCCACGTCTGCCAGCCCCTCACCACCCACGTGTACTGGAAGCCCACCACCCGCGCCATCCAAGGTAGGCACTGCGGGGACAGGGGCACAGCGCTGGGGGTGCCCCTTTTAACCCCCCCTGCTCCTTCAGAGTGCTGGGGATGACCAGCACTGACCCTCCTGCTCTTGTAGTGCTCCAGGACCTGCTGCTGCAACTGGACAGGCCCGACCTCCAGCAGGCGCTGCGGCCGGACGTGGCCCGGGAGATGCAGGAGCGTCCCGAGGAGTTCCGGCGCCGGGCAGAGGAACACACCCGTCTCCACGCCGAGCCGCGCCCCGACCCCCATATATGAGGCAATAAATACTCTCCATCACCTGCTCTGGCTTCGTGGTGCCTCACTGCCAGGGTGGCGGGCTCCAGGAGTTGCTGCCCCCCACGTGCCAGACCCGAGGGATGTCACCCTCCTGGGGGCAGAGCCAGGGCTGGGCCCCAACCTGGCGACAATGCCCGGTTACTCGCTCGGTGCCAGCGCTCCTCCCTCCAGAGACGAGGCCACCACCGCCTGGCACCACGGCCTTTACTGCTGGGGGACAGAGCAGGGGACAAAGAGGGGGATGGCACAGGTGGGGGGCTGTGGGGGACCCTCTCAGCGCTTCTTGGTCTTCACGAGCCCCTTGGCCACCAGGCAGCGGTACAGCTCCTGCACGTACGTGTACACGCACTTGGCGTCGGGCACCGGCAGCCGCACCATGTCCTCCACCTCCAGCAGCGGGGCACAGCCCGCCCGCTCCCTACGGGAGGGGACACAGCGGTCACCGGGGCCGGGGGTGGCCGGGGGGACCGAGGGGCGGGGGCTGCGCTCACGCACTCGGCAGTGGCGAAGGCCAGGGCGAAGTTGTCCCGACGGGCGTTGGGCTCCAGTGCGGCAAAGTCGAAGGCGTCGGGGAAGAAGCTGTGCAGGAGGGCGCAGAAAGCCAGCCCGCTGCCCCAGCTGCCCGAGAAGTTCTGCACGTCCACGTTCTGCGCAGACAGGGGGGTCAGGCCAACCCCGGACCCTCCACCGGACCCTCCCGCCGCCCCGCTCCTGCACTCACCGGGTACCCGCGGGTGCGGGCGCGGCACCACTCCAGCAGCATCGTCTTGACCGTGGCGGCCCCCCCTGAGCGCCGCAGGTGTGGGGCTGGGCCCTTGGCAGCCCTGGGGGGACCTGGGCTGTGGGATCCCTCATAGGGACCCTCAGTCCCTCCGTAACCCCACTGCCCTGTGGCTCTGGGCCCACAGTGCCCCGTGGTCACATAGCTCACCTCGTTCCACCCCCTCCCCCCCACTGCCCTATGGACCCCCCACTCCTCCCTGTACCCCTCATTGCCCCATGTCCCCCCAGTACCACCACTGCCCCACAGACCCCAAGTTCCCCTATGACCCCATTGCCCTGTGCCCCCCCAATACCCCCACTGTCCCATGTCCCCACCATGCCCCCCAATTTCCCCGGTACCTCCCATTGCCTCATGGCTTTCCAATAGCACCACTGCTTTGTGACCCACCCATCCCACTGTCTCTGGCTATTCTATCGCCCCCAATCCCCCCGTTCTCTCAACGCCCCTCCTGCCCCCCACACCCGTGCCTCCCATGGGGGCAGGCCCCCCTCACCCTCCGAATTTCTCCAGGATGGCAGAGCGCCCCTGTGCCCGGGACCCCACTCGTGGCCGTCCCCCAGCCCCGTCCAGCCTCAGCCTCTGTCCTGCCGAACCGGGGGCTGCCTTGTCCCGTGTCCCTGCCGCTGGAGCACACCTGCAGGCACACACGGGGGGGACAGCCATGAGCAGGGGGCTGTAGGGTGCCATCCCTGCGGTGGAGTACTGGGGTGCCATCTATGGGGACACACCTCTTGCTGTCCCCCGCGTCCTCGGTGGTTCCAGCTGCAAAGAGAGAGGAAGGGTCAGAGGTGTGGAGAGGGAGCCCACACGCCCCTCCGGGCTCCCCTGGGGCTCAAAGTCCTTTCTCATGGGGAAGATGGACACTGTGGGGCAGCAGTGACCTCAGGACACTCGGGTGCCATCACCCAAATGGCTCTTACCTGTGGGGGACGTTGGGGATACCGGGGACATAGGGGACGTGGGGGATGTAGGGGACGTGGGAGATGTGGGGGATGTAGGGGACGTGGGAGATGTGGGGGACGTGGGGCTGGTGGCCCCCTCTGGGGACGAGCAGGGAGGGAACTCAGGCCACAGCTCGTCGTCCTCGTCCTGAAGCCAAGTGGGCTCCTGTAAGCAACAGGCAGGGTGGCACTGCCAGCACGGGCAGTGTCACTCACACAATGTCCCTGGCACTGTCATCCTGGCCCTGGCACTCTCACCCTGCCCCAGTAAAGCCTGTCCCTGTCCCCATCCGTACCGCAGCTGCCCTCCCCACCACCTTCTGCCCTGGCTGTGTCAACACCTCCCTTCCAACCCTTCCTCACCTGTCGGCGCCGGGTGTTGCCTGCTGATGCCGGCGCCTCTTCTCCCCCGGTACACTTCTCGGTACCCCCTCCGGTGCCCCCGGCTGTCCCTGCCTCGGCATCTCCACCATCATCCCCGGCCTCGCCCCCGGCACCCCTGGGTGCTTCTGTCCCGCCATCCCCGGCAGCCTCTCCCCCCGCGCACCCCCCTGAGCCCCCCGTATCCTCCCTTTCACCCCCCGTATCTTCCCCTTCAGCCCCCGTGTTCTTCCCTTCACCCCTCGTGTCCCTCGCATCGCTCCCCTTGTCCCCCCCATCGCCCTCCGCTTCCTGAGCTTCCTCCCCAGCCTGGGGAGTCGTCGCCTCCCCCTTGCCCTTCCCTGGCCCCACGGCGGGGTCAGAGGGGGTGTCGCGGGTGGGGGTGCCAGGGGTTGGGGTGTCCGAGGTGGGGGTGCCAGGGGTCGGGGTGTCCGAGGTGGGGGTGCCAGGGGCCGGGGTGTCCGAAGTGTGGGTGCCAGGGGTTGGGGTGTCCGAGGTGGGGGTGCCAGGGGTCGGGGTGTCCGAAGTGGGGGTGCCAGGGGCCGGGGTGTCCGAGGTGGGAGTGCCAGGGGCCGGGGTGCCAGGTGTGGGGGTGTCCGAAGTGGGGGTTTCAGCGTCTCTCAGAGCCTCCATATTGCTGCGGTCACTGCTGCAGGGGCACAGGATTGTCACTGGGGTGGCCCCCGAAGACGTCCGTGCCCCCTGTAGCCCGGCTAACCCCCTTCCTGCCCCTGTCCCCAAGCCCTCCTCCAGCCCTGGCACTCCCATGTTGGGCACCCCAATCTCCCCACCCCAGCTCCCCCATGCCCCATCCCGACACCGCAACAGCACAGCCCGTTCCCGTCACATTTCCCTGCAGACCCCCAAGCCCCAAAACAACTCTTCCATTGCTCTCCTGCCCCACTTCCAGCCGCCCCACGCCCCATGTCAGCACCCCTGTGCCCCTTCCTGCCATGTCCCCCATGTCCCCTCTCGGCCACCAATATCCCATCCCGACACCGCCATCTCCCTTTCCCGGCCCTCCAGTTCCCACCGCCGGCCCCCTATAACCCTTTCCCGGTCTCCCTTGCTGCCCTCCGGTGTTCCTCTCCGGTGCCCCCAGCCCGCACCCTCCCGGCCGCTCCCTGTTCCCCCCGTTCCCCCTGGAGCCCCCCGTTCCCCGCGGAGCCCCTCGCCCCGTACCCTCCGGCTGCTCCCGCTCCGCTGCCCCTGCTGAGCCCCGGCCCCCCCGCCCGGCGCTATTTTTACCCGGCGGGGGCAGGTGCCGCCTTCACTCACCGCCCACCCGCGGAGCACGCGTGGGGCCGGGCCGGACAGCCGGGCATGGCTGGGGACAGGGAACACGCCGAAAGTCCCACTCGGACAGCGGCGACACCCCAAAGCAGCCCCACGAGGGGACGACTGAAGCAGTGCCGTGTGACCCGAGAGGCACAGGGGACACGGACACCCTGGGCAGGGACAGGGAGACTTGGGGGTCACATGGGCGAGGCGGGGATCACAGACACGCAGGGGTGTACGGGGCACACAGGGGGGACACGGGAGACGCGGGGGAAACAGATTCCCGGGGGGCAATGGGGACACAGACACTTGGGGACACAGGTCACATGGGGACAATCCGGGCAGGACAGCGGGACACAGGATCCAGGGAGACGAGGAACAGGGGACACAGAGGAGAAGACCGAGAGGGAGGGACCCGAAGCCCCCCGGCCATGCCCGGGTGAGGTCCCCATGATAACCACGCCCCCTCCCATCTAGACACGCCCCCATTTTATGACCACGCCCCCCCCTCGGGGCAAAGGCCGGGCCCAGCGCGCGCTCTGCCGCTCCCCTCCCGTAGCTCGGCCGCCGCCGTGGCCATGCCCCCTCCACGAGACCAATCAGCGACAGAGGCATAGCCCTGGTCCCGCCTTCGCCTGCACATGATTGGTCAGTGCCAGTGGTGGGGCGGGGCCGCTGCGCGGGTGGGCGGAAGCGCGGCGCCCACGTGGTTCCTGCAGGGAGCCGCCACCGGGTCCCCGACCGAGAGGGACCGTGGGGGTCCAACGGGGCGGATCCGAGCGGGGTCGGGCCTAGAGGGACCCTAATCGGGATCGGGACCGAACGGGGCCGGTGCTGGCCGCCATGGATCCGCTGCGGGCTCAGCAGCTGGCGGCCGAACTGGAGGTTGAGATGATGGCCGACATGTACAATCGGTGCGGCTCGCCCGGAGGGGGCATTGGGAGTGTTGGGGTACCGGGGGCTGTCCGTGGCTTGGGGGACAATAGCGGGTGTCAGAAGCACTGGGGAGCCCTGGGGTGCTGGGGTTGAAGGGGAGTGCGGGGGGTCCTAGGAGACACCTGGGAAATGGAGGGGGGGGGAACCGGAGATGCCTGAGGATGGGGGGCGGTGAGAGGTCCAATGGGTGCCCGGGTGGCGATGACGGGGGCTCCTGGGCCTGTTGGGGTGCAGAGGCCGGGGTCCCGGTCGGTGACGATGGGGGCACAGGAGGTGTTGGGGTGCAAGGGCTGGGGGTGCCTGGGATGACGATAAAGGAGGGTGCTGCGTTGCAGGGCTGGCTCCCGGGGGTGGCGATGGCGGAGTACGGGAGATGTTGGGGTGCAGGGTCGGAGTCCCGGGGATGGCGATGGAAAAGGTATAGGGTGTGCTGGGGTGCGGGGCCGGGTCCCGGGTGGCGCAGGGCTCAGACGCGGTGTGGTCCGTGCAGGATGACCCAGGCGTGCCACCGCAAGTGCGTCCCCCCGCACTACAAGGAGTCGGAGCTGTCCAAAGGGGAATGCGTGTGCCTGGACCGCTGCGTGGCCAAGTACCTGGAGGTGCACGAGCGGATGGGCAAGAAGCTGACGGAGCTGTCGCTGCAGGACGAGGAGCTGCTCAAGCGAATGCAGCAGGGCACCGGCACTGCCTGAGCCCCAACCCCGCACCCCAATAAACCTGGGGAGTCTACTGTGCTCCCCTTGCCCCCCCAAACCCACCCTGTGGCCGTGTGTTGGGGTACGTGGTGCCCGTGGTTGCTGCTGCTGGGAGCCCCCCTTGTTGTCCCCAGCTGCCACGTGCTGTGTCCTTGTGGGGGGCACCCCTGGGTGCCCCCCCCGGCTGGGCCCAGCCCGTGTAATCCCCTGGATTAGGCAGAGCTGGGCTGAGCCCCTTGTAATCCTCAGTGGGGTGGGACAGGGCTCAGCCACTCCCTGTCTGTCTGTGCTGAGGGTCACCAGAGGGTGCTCAGGGACACAGCGCCGGAGGGGCAGGGCACAGGGACACCCCCAGGACACCCAGCCCCGGTTGAGGATACACAGATGGGACCGTGTGTGATGACCCAGGGACATCTCTGCCTGAGCAAAGAGCATGTGGAGACAGCCAGAGAACCACAGGGAGGGGGCATGGGGACACCCACGTGGAGATAGTCTGCACACACACAGACGGACACCTCCACACACCCCCAGGGACAGTTGGACGGGACAAGGGACCCGGAGCACATGGGCACGCAGGGAGTTACACTCGCTGAGGGACATCCGACGCTGTGTGAGGGACAGCTGCCGAGGGGCAGCCATGGGGTAACACACACCTAGAGGGACCTATGGTAGGGGGTGGGCCGTGTCCCTGCTCCCACAGCCCGGCAGCAGTTCCACACAGTTCCATCTGTGTGCTAGCGCCTGCGGGAAGTGGGTCAGGCTGTGCAGGGCGCGGGTGACGGCGCGGGGGTGGCTCTGCGCCCCGCGGCTCCCGTGACACCCGCCAGCACTCTGCGAGGGGTGCGGGGTGTCGGCGTCACGGGAGCCTGCGTGTCACCGGCCCCGCGGTGGAGCTGGGTGTGTGGCACATGTCAGGGGGTGCGTGTGGCCGCACACCCCGCGGGGGGTGTCCGTCTGTCCCCCCCGCAGTGCCCTGCACGCCTCGCTGCCCTGCCACCCGCCGCTCCCATCAATATTTCAGGAGCAGCAGGCAATGACCTGGAACGGTAGCGGCCCATCCACAGCAGCCAGGCCCCGCTCTCCCAAAATAAGACCATTTTTAATAAATAATTTCCCACCTTTTGGTTCCTGTTGGGGGTTTTTCCCACTCAGAATGGGAGGGGACCCCCTTCTGCATCCTGCGGCCCCCACCCGCCGGCTGCTCCCCACAGTTCTTGAGGCCTCCCCTGGGGAAAAGGGGAGCACGGGCGCCCCGAGGAGCCGGGACCTTCTGGGGCGCCGAGGGGGGCTCAGAGTCGGGGCAGGATCAGAGCCAGGAGGGGCAGGAGGACGGGAGGCCGGTGGGGCGCGGCGGTGGCCATCGGGGCACAGGGGTCATGGGGACAGCTGGCGTCCTCGGAGGGCCCGCGGGAGTCACGGGAGGGGGGGGGCGGCCGGGGCTGGGGTCCCCGCAGGTCGTGGGGGGGCAGCCCGTCGCGGTAGAAGGCGGAGGGGGGCGCGGCCGGGAGGGTGCCCGGGCGACCCAGCGCCCGCCCCGGGGTGCCCATCACTGCCACCCCATTGCCACCGCCGCCATTGCCGTCTTCCATCTCCTCGTCTTCGTCGTCGTCGTCCTCAGGGCAGGCGTCGAAGTCGCGGGGGCGGAGCTGGCGCAGGTCGGTGCCGCGGCGGTGCGGGGGGCTGGCGCACGGTACCGGGGAGCTGGAGACTCGCGTGCGGCGGAACCAGGCCCAGAGCGGGCGCGCACGGCAGTCGCACGCCCAGGGGTTGGCGTTGAGGCGCAGAAACTGCAGCGAGGGCAGCGCGGCCAGCGGGTCCCCGGGCAGGGCCACCAGGCTGTTGTTGAACAGGTAGAGGATGGTGAGGCGCGCCAGCCCCCCGAAGGCGCGGCGGTGGATGGCTGCCAGCCGGTTGGCATGCAGCAGCAGGCGGTCCAGGCTCGACAGCCCCCGGAAGACGCCCTCCGACAGCGCCCGCAGCCGGTTGCCGTGCAGGAAGAGGTGGCTCAGGTTGGCCAGGTCGGCAAAGAGATCGTCCTGCGGGGAATGAGAGAGCGGTGGGCGTGGGGTGGGGGTCCACAGTGCTGTTCTACCTGGTGGGCATCACCTGGAGAGCCACTGGTGTGGGCCCCACAGAGCCCTGCCATGGGTCTTAGTCCTGCCAGCATCACCCATCACCCTCTCCTGTGTCCCTGCTCCATTAGCATCATGCAAGACCTTGCCCCATGTCCCTACCATGCTGGTGTCACCCATGGTCCTGCCCCACGGCCATCACCCTGCTCCGTCAGCATCTCCCATCCCTGCCCTGCATTCTGGCCCCGCCAGCATCACCTTATCCCACATCCTGTCTCCGTAGGTTGTCACCCACCACCCTGTCTGGTCCCACCCATTGCCCACCATCTCACCTCACCCACCTGGAGGTAGAGCAGCCCGTTCTCCTGCAGGTAGAGGTACTGGAGGCTGCGGAGGCCGCGGAAGATGCCGCTGGGCAGGCTGGCCAGCCGGCACCGGTACAGGTGGAGGGCCTGGAGGCGGTGGAGGCCGTGGAAGGTGTCAGGGGCCAAGACGCGGAGATGCGGGTTGTCACCCAGGTCGAGCTCCTCCAGGGCGGGCAGGTGTCGGAAGGTGCCCGGCTGGATGGAGGAGATGTTGTTGGAGTAGAGCCAGAGGGTGACGGTGCTGGGCCCGAAGGTGCCCGCCCGCAGCGCCCCGATGACGTTGTTCTGCAGGAAGAGGCGGCGGGCGCCGGGCGGGAGCCCCGCGGGCACCGAGGAGAAGTTGTTGGCCTGGCAGCTGACGGTGGGCGGCGAGACGTAGCAGGTGCAGAGCGCGGGGCAGGCGGGAGCCCCGCCGGGCACCCACACCAGCGCCGCCAGCAGCAGCAGGGCCGCCGGGCGCCCGCCTGAGGGCACAGCGGGGCGTCAGCGCGGGGCACCGCGCGTCCCCGACCCCCGCGCCGCCGCCGCCCGCCCCCCGCAGCCCCCCGAGACCCCGGGGCCGTGCCCACCCTGTCATCAAGCCATGGTTCCTTAGGAGAGTCCTGATCATTCCATACGGTTGGGCACCCCAAGGAGGCCCCCAGGACTGTACCCACCCTTAGGGCCATGGTTCCCCAGGAGAATCCCAAGGTCATGACAACCCCGTAGGGCTGGGCTCTCCTAGAAGCCCTCCAAAGCCACGCCAGCTCCATAGGGCCATGGTTCCCCAGGAGAGCGCCAAGGTCATCACCACCCCATTGGGCCGGATACCCCGAGGTGGGGACTGTGCCCACCCTGAGGGCCATGCCTCCCCAGGGACCCCTAAGGCCATGCCCACCCACACGGCCACGGTCCCCTAAGACCACAGTCCCCGAGGAGAATTCCAAGGTCATGACCACTCAACAGCACTGAGCATTCCTCGCAGCCCCTGGACCCACACCAGCCCATAGGACTGTGCTCCCCAGACACCCCCCCAGGCTATGCTGCTGCACAGCACCAAGGCTGGGGCACCCCAAAACGTGGCTGTCCACTTGCGACCTCCTAGGGCCATTCCTGCCACTGGAGCCATGCTCCCTAGGGACTTCCAAAGCTCCCTGACCCCCCTGCCGTGGCCACACTCCTGCGGGACCGTGCCCACCTCACGGTCCACCAGAACCCCTCAGAGGGTCACAGACCCCTAGGACCCCCCTCACCCCCATCTGGGGGGGGGTCTGTGCCCCCTCCCCAAACGGGGCGGTGCCACGTGCGCGCGTGCCGCGGCCACGTGTGGGGCGGGGCACGCGTGGGCGCGGGCTGACGACACGCGCCGCCGCTCCGGGTGTTCAGCATCCCCCCCTTCCTCCCCCCCCACCCGTGTCCATCCCCCCCCTCAGGCTGCAACCCGAGAGCTTCATCCATAATTCAGCCCGGCGGCCTGGATCCACGCCCGGGGATGCGTGGATGCGCCCAGTCGCCGCTACCGGGGGAGGGGAGAGGAAGGAGGGGGGCGGTAGGACCCTCCGGTGCACCGGAGGTCACACCGGAGATGCACCGAGGGGTCTCACCGCCCCCTTCCCTCCCTTCCCCTCTGCCGGTGCTCCACGAGTTGGGGGGGTACCCACCCCCCACCCACCCACGGAGGCGTCCGGCGCATCTGCTCAGCGCCGCCCCCCTCCCCCGGCGCCCCGTGCCGGCGTGCGCCCCCCACCCGCGTCCCATCTGTCACTCCCCCACGCCGCGGGCTGACTCAGTTGGGAGCTGAAGTCACCGGTTCCCAACCCCCCCCCACCCCGGTACTTGCGGGTACCCCACAGACCCGCGGTACCCACCCGCGGGGCGCGGGCTAACCCGGGCACTCCCGGCTTTCCCGCGGTGCCCACATTGTGAACTGTGGGGCGTCTCCACGCCGGGCTGGAGGTCCGGGAGTGGCACCGCGTAGCCCCTGGATCGTGGGGCACACCCCGATGGGGATCGTGGGGTACCCACACTCCGGACTGGGGTTCTTGGGGTGGCACCGGGTACCCCATGGATCGTGAAGCATCCAAAAGCCGAGCTACGCACGCCGGTGCTGCACAGGGTGTGCCTGGGTTCGTGGGGCACCCCCATGCCGCCCTGGGGGCCCGGGATGGCATCGAGTACCCACGTGTCGTGGGGCACCCGCAGCTGGGCTGAAGGGTCCCGAGGTGGCATCGGATGCCCCGTGGATCACGAGACAGCCACACTTCGGGCTGTGCTGGCAGCCGACACCTCGTGGGTCGGGGGCACCCTCGCGCCAGGCAGCCGAGGGTCGCGGGGGACTCAACCTGGGGTGCCCCGGGACTGCGCCCCCGCGCCGGGCTGTGCGTTCCGGGGCAGCACCGGGGTCCCCGAACACCCCGGGGCTCCTCACGCACCCCGGGGCACCCGCATCCCGAGCGCCGCGGGGCACCCCGAGCCGGGACCGAGGTCTCCGGGTGAAACCCCAGGGTTGACCCGACACCCGTGGGACCCCGCCCGACCCCGCGCCTACCTGGGGGCAGGTCCCGAGCCGTGGGGGGCCGCATGGCGGGGCGGCCGCTCAGGCGCTGCCCACCCGCGGGGTCATGGCCGGTGCCGGGGGGGCTGCTCGCCCCCTTCGCCCCCGCCGCGCCGCCAGGAGCAGCAGCCGTCGCCGCCCCGGGGCATGGCACGGGTGGGCTCGGGCTCGGGCACGGGTGGGCTCGGCGCGGCGCTGCCCGCGGCTCCGTGGGGCTGAGCCCTCCCCGCGCCGCGCCTTATCCCGGGGCGGCCGCTCCGCCCCCCGCGCCGGCCCCGCCGCTTAACCCTTCCCGGGCCGGCCCGCCCCAGGCGGGACAGGGGTGGGCACGGGGACTCCCGGTGGGGACAGCGGGGACAGCGGGGGATGCGCTGCGGGCGTCCGCGGGGGACACGCCCATCGGGATTCGCGAGGGAGACTCCCAATGGGGACACGGGGTGTGACGGGTTCCCCCAAAGGGGAAAGGACGCGGGGCTCGCGTGGGAAGGTGTGAGCGGGGGACACGGAGGGTGGTCTCCGTCCGTCCGTCCGTCCGTCCGTCCGTCCGTCCTTCTGTCCCTCCCTCCCTCTGTCCCGCGCTCCCTGGACCGGCGGCGGGCCCCCATGGACGGCCGGACCCTCGGGGGCTGCCCCCGGAGCAGGTGCGGCGGGGCCGGGGGTCCCGCACCCGACGAGCCTCCAGGAGGGCGCGGGGGGCGGCGGTGTGCGCACCCACGCGGGACCGCGGCGCTGTTCGCGGTGCCATCCCGGCGCTGTCCGTGGTGCCGCCGCGCCGCTGCCCGGCCCGGCCCGGGGCAGAAGCGGGTGGCGGCGGTGCGGAATGCACCGGCCCCGCGCGGGCCCCACGCCGGTGCCGCGCGTGGGGGGGGACGCGTGGCCGCGCGGGCTGCGGCGGCACCGGCACCGGCTGGCACCGGCGCGTGTTTGCGGCGCCGTCTCCGGCGAGCGAAATGCCACAAGCTGGTGCGGCGGCACCCGTGGGAGGGGGCGTGGGCGGTGCGGGGCTGACTCAGGGGCCGCCATCCGCTCCCCCCCGCCCGTGCCCCCAGCCTGGCCGCGGAGCCCCCGGCCGGACACCGCTGATATGGCCTGGAAAGGGGGAGCCTGCTCTGGGGGGGCTGCGGGTGCTGGTGCCCACCCGGCTGGGGAGCTGGAGACAGGGTGGATAGGGAGGGGATGGACGGCCGGATGCATGGAAGGAGGGGACAGGTGGGTGGACAGAGGTGGAGGATGAATTGATGGACATAAGGAGAGTAGGACAGATGGACAGACAGATGTACGGAGAACATCTGGAGATGGGGTGGACGAATGAAGGGATGGGTGGAAGATGGAGAGGACAGGCAGATGGACAGGTGGAGGGAAGGGCAGGTTATGGGCAGCTGGAAGGTTGTGGGACGGATGGATGGGATAGATAGATTTGTGATTGGAGGGGGACAGATGGACAGGTGACAGACAGAGGAATGATGGACAGATGGATGGGTGACAGACAGATGGATGGGTGATGGACAGATGGACGGGTGATGAACAGACAGAAGGGCAGCTGGCAGAGCAGATGAGAGGCTGGAGCAGTGGGGACAGGTGGGGACAGACCAGCTGGCTGCAAGCACTGGTGGATGGACAGAAGGACAGAGGAGAGGATGTGGCCAAGAGGAGGGTGACAGGAAGGACAGGTGTGTCCTGGGTGGGGCGAAAGCAGGGGGTGGGGGACACAGCAGAACATAGCGGGGTGGGAATGGGAATGACTCTGGGATGGCACAGCTGCAGTGGCCCAGGGATAGTCACTGGGGTGTCCAGGAATGGCCTAAGGGGTGACCCAAGCATCACTGAGAGGTGGCCCAAGAGTGACCAAAAAGGTGATCCAAGGGTGACTCGAGGGTAGCGCCAGCAGGAGAGCACCTTGGGGACACCAGGTGAGAGAGGTGTCACACCTGGAGACGCCGAGGGGGGCACCCGCGGGGGGCGCAGGGGCGGCACCGGGGAAGGGCTCCGTGCCGAGACGGCCCCTCCTGGGCGGACCCGCCGGTGACCGGGGCTTGTCCACCGAGGCCGCCTCCCGCGCCCCCCCGAACCGCCGCACCCGGAGGCGGGGCCCGGCCCGGCCCGGCCCGGCCGCTCCACCCTCAGCGGGGGGCGCGGCGCGGCATCGGGGGCACCGCGGGAGCATCGGGAGCACCGGGGACGCCGGGGCGGGGAGAGCCCGGTCCCCTCCCCGCCGGGCCGGGCGGGAGGCGGGTGAGCGGCGCGGGGATCCGGCGGGAGGAGCCCGGATGGACACGGAGCGGCTGCGGGAGGAGGGTTGTGACCGCGACGGGAGGATCCGGGAGAGGGGGGACCGAGGGCCCTGGGCCCCTGCTCTGCGGAGCTGGGCTCGGCGTGGACGCGATGCGGATGTCTGGAGTGTCCTGGGCGGTGCCGGAGGCGCGCCTGGCGGAGCGGCGGGGCTGCGTCGGCCCCGGGGCAGGCTCGGGGGGCTGCCACGGCAGGGGCCCCACGGCTGCCCACCCGCTGGGACCACGCGTGTGTCCCCCTGCCACACGTGTGCGGGCCAAGTCCCCGCGGCCAGGGCTGCCCCCGCTCCGTGGGGCGCGGGCGGCGCCGACCCCATGGCACTCCGGGGTGGGGAGGGTCCCAGGTCTGCGGCAGCCCCCAGAGGTCCTGCCCCCTCCATGACCCGGGAGAAGCTGGAGGGACACAGCAGGGATAGAGGGGACAGAGACACTGATGCTGCGAATCTCCGGCCCGAGCCAGAGCCTCCTGCTGCCTCAAGGAGAGCTCACCAGTCTGGGGGGCTCACCAGCGGGGGGACCGCACCAGTAAGGGGGGGTCACTACTATGGGGACTCACCAGTGTGGCTGGCAGGGACAGCATGTCCAGGACAGCCCAGTAAGGCTCAGTGGCTGTCACCCATAGTGAGTGGCTCGGGGTGCCCGAGGCAGTGATCCCCATATGTCAGGGCTCCCCGGTGCCCCCCCAGCTGATGCCACAGCCCCAGCCCCCCACCTGAGTGGCTAAAAATAGTTCAGGTCCCCCCGGGCCGGCCCCCCCTCGGCTATGTTCAGGTTAATCTTTAGCTGCTCGTCACTATAGTGAGCCTCATTACCCGACATTACGGCAGGCAGGGGAGAGGGTTAGGGACAGGCCCTGGACAGTGTCAAGGTGACAGGGGCTCGGTGCAGCAGAGTCAGGCTGTGCGTGGGTGAGCGAGGTGGGGGGACACGGGGGACAGTGAACTGGGGGTGACATGGCCTTGGTGCCCTCGACACCCAGCTGTGGATCACAGGGGAGTCCCAACTGAATGTGTGGGGTGACCTCGTGTCAGCCTCAGCACGGTGACAATCCACAGTGCAGTGCAGTGCTTGGGGTGTCAGCGTCCCCAGGAGACATGCCATGGTCCCTAGCAGTGTGAGGGGATTCCTGGAGACATGACAGGATCCCCAGGGGAGTGGCAGTGTCCCAGAGATGTGACAGTGTCCCTGAGAGCTGTGCCAGGGTCCCCAAGGGAGGGCCCCATGGGCTGTGTGTCACCATCCCCTGCAGCGTGCCTGTGTCCCCAGGGGCTGTGCCAGCATCTCCAGGGTTTGTGCCAATTTCCCAAGCACTGTGCCAAGCCCTGGGGGGGTGGGGGGAGGGTGTGTTGGTGTCCCCGAGGGGATGCCAATGTCCCCAGGGGCTGTGCCAGCATCACCAGGAAGAGTGCCAGTTTCCCAAGGGCTGTGCCAGGTCCCCAGCAGGGTGCAGGTGTCCCTGGGGTAAGGTGTGTTGTGGTGTCCCCAATGCTCACACCAGGGTGTGCAGCAGTGTGCCAGTGTCCCCAGGGTTATGCCAGGTCCCGGGCCAGGTTGGCTCAGGGCAGTAGGGACAGCACAGGGGTGTCCTGGCACACTGGGGGGACTGAGCCCCCATTGAGGAGCCCACGGTGCTATCGGGGGGCCCAAGGCACTATCGGGGACCAGCACCCTGGGGGAGCCGCGTGTGCTCCTGGGAGAGTAGGGGGGAGTCAGTGGGGGTGAGGAGGTGCATCCCAGCCATGCTGCCGGGGTTCAAACTCCACGGCGGCAGTGAAGGTGATGGTGACAACAGGAGGGCCTGGCCTCGTGCAGGTGGGTGAGGGGTGCTGGACAGGAGGCAGCAGGCACCTGGGCAGGTGTGTGCAGGTGTGCATGCCTGTAAGGGATCTGTGTGTGTGTCCATGCAGACCGTGTGTGTGCCTGTAAACTGGTGTGTGCACCTGAAACACGTGTGTGTGCACCTGAAACACGTGTGTGTGCCCATAAACGCGTGTGTCTGTGCCCATAAATCTTTGTGTGTTCCCATAAATGTGTGTGCACCTGTAAATCTCTGTGTGTATGCCACATGCCAACAGCTGTCCCCACGTGTGTGAGCCCTGGTTGTCATAGGGCCCTGCTCTGTGCCCTGGCACATGGAGGGACATTGGTGCCAGCTGCTGTGGCCAGGGCAGAGCCGGGGTCATGATGGCCTTTGCCCAGGTGGCCACGTGCTGCCACATGCCCCTGTGCACCCCAGATGTCCCTGTGCCCCTGGTGGGTCCCAGCATGGTGTGACACCCAGCCTTTGTCACCCACAGGCTTGGTGAAGACGCCCCAGGCTGGTGACAGCCTGGGTGGGGGACATGGGGGGCGCAGGGCTAGCCAAGCGCCTGGGGACGCTCCTGTCCGGGCTGCTGGAGTGCGGCGCCTTCTGCGGCATCATCTTCGGCTGGGCCTCCCTTGTCTTCGTCCTCAAGGACCTGGGATACTTCGAGGGGCTGTGCCAGCCCTCTGCCACCCCTAGCCCCAACCTCACCCTGGGGTCTGGTATGGACCCCCACCTGTCCCTATGGTCCCTAACTCGTGACCTCACTGTCCTCATGCCCTGTGCTGTCCCATGTCCCCACTGTGCCTGTGTCTTTGCTGTCTGCAATGTCCTGATGCCCTGCAGCATTCCGTGTCCCCGCCCTCTCCAAGCCCATGTGCCTACTGTCCATGGCATGTCCATGGTGTCCATGCCCGGTGTCCCCTGCATCTCTGCTGACCCATGTCCCTGCACCCCTGGTATTCCTGGTGTCCCCATGCCCATGTCTCTGTGTCCCCATGCCCCACTTATGACCATCCCCAGACTGCAGCGGGCAGGATGAGCAGTTCTCCCTGGTCTTCACCATCGGCTCCTTCATGAACAACTTCATGACTTTCCCCATGGGCGTTGTCTTCGACCGCTTTGGCACCACAGCCGCTCGCCTCATTGCCATGTGAGCCCTGCACCGGGGGGGACACAGGGGACGGGGCTTGGGCTGAGGGGCTGCTGCGAATGGGGTGTTATTGGGGTGGCCTGGCTCCCAAGGGGCTGGGGTAGGGGAATCACCTGTGATTCCCAGGATCCTGTGCCCACGTGTCACCACTGTCTCCTTTAGCTCCCTCTACACTGGCGGGACCCTGCTTGTCGCCTTCTCCACCCCAGGTGAGACCCTGTGGCCAGGGTGTCTCCAGCCCCGGGAGGACCTCTTTGGTAACCCCTGTCCCCACTGACCTCTGTGTTCCCAGAGATGGCAGTGCTGCTCTTTCCAGCCATGTCCATGCTGTCGGTGGGTGGCATCCTCCTCATCCTCACCAACATGCAGGTGGGTTCCCCTGCCACGTGGTGGCAGAACAGCCTGCCCAGCACGGGAGGGCTCTGATGGCACACAGGCGTCTCTCGGTGCCAGGTGGGCAACCTGTTCGGGAACTACCGCTCCATCATCATCACCCTCTACAACGGGGCCTTCGACTCCTCCTCCGCCATCTTCCTCATCGTCAAGGTGGGTGTGAGGGACGTGGCAGTAGTAGCAGGGGAGGACAGAGCTGAGAACATCTACGGACATATTGGGGACACAATCTGGGACACTGTTGGGGCCACACTTGGGCACACACTTAGGGCCTGAGCAGGTGGCTGGTGGCAGCCATTCTCTGTCCCTGACTCCGTCCTTGTCCCCAGCTGCTGTACGAGCGCGGGCTGTCCCTGCGGGCCATGTTCCTCTTCCTGGCAGCCTGCAGTGCTTGGCACCTCCTGCGCACCCTCTTCCTGATGCCGCGCACCCGCATCCCCTACCCGCTGCCCCCCGACTACGACTACGGGTATGGGGGGCTGCCTGCGCCCTGCTGGGGCTCTGGGGAGAGGGGAGGCAGGGTCTCACCCTGCGGGCAGCGGGTCCTGTCCCCTGGGCAGGCATGACGCAGGGTGACACAGGCGCTGCCGCAGGCTGCAGTGCCGGGGCCGTTCCCGCTCCTACCGAACCCACAAGGACAAGCAGCCCTCGGGAGAGGCCGGGCCCGAGGAGACACCCCAGGAAGCCCCCATAGCTCGAGGTGCCCGGAGTGGGAATCTGCTGGGGGGTGGGGCTTATATTTGGGGAGGGGCTTGGCCGGCCAGGTGGGCTGTGGGCGGTGCCATGTAAATGAAGGGTGTGACATGGGCATGGCGTGGTTGAAGGGCAACCATGTGTATGCAAATTAACGAGGCGTGGCCTTATGGTGGGTGGGCGTGGTTTTACTGGGCGTGGCTGGTGACAGATAGCTGTATGCAAATGAAGGGGGCTGGGTGCAGCAGTGTATGGGCGTGGCCAAAATCATGGGCGTGGTGACACATCTGAATGGGCAGGGTCATGCAGAGGGCTGTGAGGCCCCAGTGGGTGACAGGGACAAGGTGTGTCTGTATGCGCCCCGCCCTGACACCTGCCCAGGTGGGGACGCCCCTGGGACGCCGTTCCGGGCCTGCGCCTGCTCCTGGCTCTTCGCCTGGCACGTGGCCTGGCTCTCGGTGATGCAGCTGCGCCATTACCTGTTCATCGGCACCCTCAACCCGCAGCTGGAGCACCTGGCACAGGGGGACCACGCCCTGGGTAAGGCATGGCGGCGAGGGGGACACGGCGGGGACCCCGGGGTCAGCCCCACCCGCCTGATGCTGTCCCCCCACAGTGAGCACCTACACCAACGCCTTTGCCATCACCCAGCTCTGCGGGGTGCTCTGTGCCCCCTGGAACGGCCTCATCCTCGACCGGCACAAGCGGGGAAAGGGACCCCGCCCTGAGGGTAACTGTCCCCCCACCCCACCACAAGGGCAGCTTGTCCCATGCCCCAAGGATTACTGGCCCCAGAGCCCTTCACCCCAAATGGAAGCACTCCTTGGCCCCACACTATGGGGGTAACAACTCCTTCTAGTCCTGTGGTCCCCTCATTACTGCCACCACCACTGTGCCCGAGCCCGTAGCACCCGGAGAAGGGACACAGAGTGGGCCGTGTCCCCATGCCCTGACCCCCGTGCCCACAGGGATCCTGGCCGCGCTGGCAGACCTGCGCTCGGCGGTGCTGTCGCTGGTGGTGACGGTGGCACAGTGCCTGCTGTTCTCCGTGTTTGCCGCCGTGCCCATCCTGCCCGTCCAGTTCGGCACCTTCGTGCTGCAGGTCATCAGCCGCTCCTTCCTGTACGGCGGCAACGCCGCCTTCCTGGCCATCGCGTGAGTGGGGACAGCCACGGCCACCGGGGACCAAGGGTTCGGGGTGGCAGGGGGTGGTGACACGGGCACTGTGGGTGTGGCAGGGGACAGGGTGGCGTGGTCAGGATGGGGCTGGAGGGTGGCAGGCGACATGGTGGAGAAGTCAGGGGCGGGGTATCGGGGTGGGGCTGTCAGGGTGGGGGTGCCAGGAGATGCCCGTTGGTGACGTGGGTGCCTGGCAGGTTCCCTCCGCAGCACTTTGGGAAGCTGTACGGGCTGGCCATGGCACTGTCGGCGCTGGTGGCCCTGCTGCAGTACCCCTGTGTAGCCCTGGTTCAGGGGCCACTCCAGGGGGACCCCTTCTATGTGAGTGTGCCCTGTGGGACCCCCGAGTGAGGGGTGAGGGGTGGTTCCACAGGGAAATGCGGATCCTGTCCTGGGAGAGAAGGGTCTGATCCCATGGGAAAATGGGGATCCTGATCCTGCCCCATGGGGAAATGGGGATGCAGCCCCGGGAGGGTTGGAGTCCTTCCCACAGGAATGATGGGAGTCATATGCCATGAGAAATAGGGAGAGAGAGGGATGAGTGTCCTGCTCCTGGGGAAATTGGAGTGCTGCCCCAAGTGCCCTGGGGGGATGTTCTGGACAGCCCCCAAGCCCCCTGCCCTGACACTGTTTCCCTCTGCAGATGAACTTGGGGCTCATCGCCGTGGTACTGGTGGCCTTTGTCAGCCCCGTGGTGGTGGCCCGTGAGTGCCAGCGACGAGCCAAGGAGCTGGGGATGGCTGGCACCCCCCTGGCAGCCCCCTCCAGCACTGAGATCCACGCTGAGACCCCACATTGAGCCACAAACCCAGCACCCCATTTTTGTACCAGCCTGAGGGTGCTGTGCCAGTGGGATGGGGGGGTTAGGGATAATAAAACATCGCTGCCCCCTCCACTCGCTGTGCTGCCCCACAACCCCCCCAGCCCCGCCCCCAGGTCCCAGGTGCACACAGACACAGCTCAGGAGACCTCTGCTTTACTGGGAAAGGAACTGGGGTGCCATGGCAGCACTGAGGGCTCAATACTGGCAGATGAATGGGCGTATCTGGAAGCAGACGCGGCTTCGCCAGAGCCCATCTGGGGATAAGAACATCATTAGAGCCATGGGTGGTTCCCAGGGCCCCCCACTACCCTGCAACCACTTCCAGTGCCCCCTATATCCCCCCATTGGCACCCCCAGTGCCCTGTAACCCCTCCTATGCCCTTGGTGGTCCCCTCAGTTCACCCAGTGCCCTGTAGCCCCCCTCCCCACGGTGTCGTCCCAGTGTTCCTCCAATACACCGTAGGCTGTGCTCCCCTCCCCAGCACCCCCCAAGCCTGGACACGGTAGGTGTGTGACCTTACCTCGGACGCTAAGGGTGGTGCAGGTGGTGATGACATGCAAGGGCTGGGTGGGTGCCCAGTTCGCATAGTTCCAGGGGCTGGAGTCCTCCCAGTAGGACCCCCACTTCCCCTTCTGCTGTGCCAACAACTCAGTGACAGCCTCTACCACCCCTATCCAGCCCCTCGACCCCAAAAACCAGCCCGAGCAACCAACACCCAGCCCCTCATGTCTCAAAACCCAGCCACCATCCCCAGCACCCCATTTCCAGGCTCGTCCCCCACAAAACAGGCCCAGCACCCAGAACCCTAGATCCAACCCCTCACCCCCCAAAGCAGCACCCAGCTGATCTTGCCAGCACCCAGCAGCCCTTTACCAGCGCGTTGTCCCCTTGTCCCCTCACCTTGCAACTGGTGACAGCTCCAATCCAGGGTGAGATGAGTTTGTTGAAGGTTTTTGCCAGTTTCTCCAGCTCCTGGTTGCGGGAAGCGCTGTGCACCGAGGCCAGCTGGCCCCGGTACACGTCCTGGCAGTAGCGCTGTGGGATGAGCACGGGCTGGCACCAGGCACTCACGTGTGCCCACGGGCACCTCCCAGCAGTGCTGGCATCCTGAGACCCCCCGTGCCCCGCTGTGCCCCACGTCCCCTCACCTGGGCAGCCGTATAGGTACGCAGCTTGTTCACCACGGTGTAGCGCAGCTGGGGGGTCTCACCAGCAGGGAGCCCCTGGAGCTGGCAGGGGGCTGCAGGGCGGGGGGGGGGGGGGGGTTGGTACCAGGGGTCTGTGTCACCCTGTGCCACTCACTGCCAGCCCCAGGCATGTGTCATCAGTGGGGTGGGCATGGCACTGGGGTGGCAGGGACTGGGGGTGTCCCCAGGGTGTCCCTGGGAGCGGGCAGGGGTGTGGGGCGCACTCACTGGGATGGGGGGACACTCACCAGGGTGGCTGGCAGGGACAGTGCCCAGCAGGGCCAGAGTGAGCAGCAGGCAGAGCCACATGGCAGTGGGACGCGCAGGGACACTGGGCACACCACCAGTGAAAATCTGGAGATTCCACAACCCTGTCACCCTTGGCCACCCCCCACCGTGGTCCAGAGCCCCTCTGCCACCCTTGGTGTGGCATCTGTTCTCTCTGTGGCCCTTCTGCTGTCCCCCATGTCCCCCCTGTCCTTCTGCCACCCCCAGTTCCACCTTGTGTCCCATACCCCCACTGTCCCTCCACCATTCCCAGTGCCACCCCCATGTACTCCTGGCATTCCAGAGACCCCCAGGTCCCCCTGACACCCTCAGCCCATCCTCAGGGATGCCCACCTCTCATCCCACCCCAACAGCCAGGGGCTGAGCCCACTTTGATGTCCCTGTCCCCATCCCTGCTCCTCACCTGGGGGCTGGGGGGACTCTGCCTATTGTTCCCCTTATAGGGGTGACAGGGCCACATGTCAACACCATAGCCTTGCGCCACCCAGCCTAGCCCTGGGGACACCATGGGGACATTGGGGTGACACTGGGGGCCCGTGGTGGGGGGGAAGTCCCTGCCTGCAGTGGGACACACATGGCCCCCAGGGAGGGGGGGCTGCAGGTTGTGGGGTGCATGGGGTGCCCAAGGCAGAGGGTGGGTGCTGGGGGGCTGAAAGGGAAGCAGGGGTGGGGGCTGTTCCAGTTTGAGGGGTGCAAGGCGGGTGTATGGGGTACAGCATGTCCTGGGATGGGGGTGCTGGGGTGCAGAGGGGATGTTGGGGTGCTGATACCATCTCCCGCCGGCCACGCTTGCCCAAGGGCCATTTCCTTCCCAACGGCTGTGGCCCCCTGGGTCCAGCCTGGCCGTTTGCCCACAGACCCCCTTGAGCTCCCCCAAGCCTCCCATTCCCCTGACCAGCCCCCCCCCAGCCTGCAGCTGAGCACCCGCAGCTCCCCCGGAGACTCTGCACCCCAATCCTCATCTCCATGCAGTGTGCACCCCTGCACCCCAGCTCTTCCAGCCCCTGTACCCCAACCTCCCTGAGCCCCTGTATTGACAACTTCAAACTCCCACAGCCCCCTCTTCACGGCCCTGCATTCCAAACCACCACAACTGCCTCCCCACACCCAGCACCCCCAAAATTCCACAACCCTCTCCCCACACACCCTGCACCCCAAACTCCCACAGCCCCCTCTTCATGGCCCTGCACCCGAAACCACCACAGCCCCCTCTTCATGGCCCCGCACCCCCCCCCAGACCAAGCACATCCCAGGCACTGGCTGGGCAGGGTGCTGACAGACCTCCCCTGGGGTGTCCCCCACCATGTCCCCAACAGTTGGTGGTTGGGGATGTCACAAGGCTGTGGTTGGGGACATGTGTCCCTGTCACCAATAAAAGGGTGACAGTGGACAAAGTCCCCCAAGACCCAGGTGAGGAGTGGAGACAGGGACATGGGGGTGGGCTCAGCCCTCAGCTGCCAGGGTTGGGGGTTCCTGAGTCTGGCACTGGGGACTCTAGGGTGCCATGGGTGGAGGGGGCATGGTGGGGGACAAAATGGCACAAGATGCCCAGGGGAGGGAGTGACCCAAGGTGAAGTGAGGAACTGGGCACATGGTGGACACAGGAGGGCTGGGGTCTGTGGAGATAGCAGAGGGGACAGGACACGCCGGGCACTGGGGATGGCGGGGGGACAGTGGGGATATGGGAGGGTTTCTGAGGGGACATGGGGAGGAGAGAGTGATGGTGGGGGTGGCAGAGGGCCCATGGGGGTGTCCCCTGGGTGGCCGAGGGTGATAGGACTCTGGGATCTCCCAAGGGTGCTAGTGGTGTCCCCAGTGTCCCTGTGCCATGCGGTCCTGCCTGCTGCTCGCCCTGGCCCTGCTGGGCACAGTTCCTGTCAGCCGCGCCGGTGAGTACCCCCACACCCCCGCTGCCTGCAGGGACATCCTGAGGACACCCCTGCTCCCAGGGTAACCCAGCCACTGTCCCCAGCTCTTGCCAGCCCTGCGGTGGAGGATGAGGAGGATGTGACAGAGCTGGAGACGCCCGAGGAGTACAGGTGCCTAGGGGCCAGTGACGAGCAGGCACCCGGTGTCCCCAGCATGCCGGGCACCGCCACCTGCCGCTACGTCATTATCCGCCGCTGCCGAAGCTTCCGCCGTGCGCAGGTGGGATGGGGTGGGTTGGGTGGGGCTTGGGGTGGGGACACTAGTGCCCCCAGTGACAGCCGTGTCTCCGCAGTGTATCTGTGCCCGGCGCTTCCGTGGGCGCTTGGCCTCCATCCACGATTCACACACCAACAACTTCCTGCTGCTCCTGGCGCGCCGGAACACCAACGCGGGTCAGGTCTGGATCGGTGCCGTCAGCCAGCCCGCTGTAAGGACCCCGCCACGTGCCCCTCACCCTGGCCTCGGGCCACCCTGTCTCCTCCCAGTGTCCCCAGTGCCCACCCCGGGTGTCCCAGCCCCATCCCATGATTCCCAGTGCACAATCTGGGTTCCCCAATCCCATTCCCAGTGTTCTCAGTGCCCACCAGAAGAGATGCAACCCTACCCCAGTGTCCCCAGTGCCCACTTGGGTGCTCCAGCCTTGTCCCAGTATCCCTTGTGCTGGGGGTCCCCACACCTTTTCTCCTCTGGCAGGTCCCATTCCCGAGCTGCCACTGGACTGACCGGAGCCCCTGGAACTACAGCCGATGGGTGCGTGGACACCCCCTGCCCGGCCGCCGCTTCTGCACCGCCCTCTGCACCAACAGTCAGTGGGGGCTCTATGGGAGGGGTCCAGGGGGCTCTGGACTGGTGGGGGGGAGGGTGCTGAGGGGCTCAGGGTGGGGAGGTGACACTGGGGGACTAGTATAAGGTATCTGGGGGGCTATCCCCGGGGGCTGGAGGGCGATGGGCTGATCCCCTCCTCTTCTCTCCCCAGGTGGGCTCTGGAGGAGCGTGCGCTGCAAGAGGCGGCTGCCCTTCATCTGCGAGATATGAGGGGCTCAGCCCCCCTGGGTGCCCCCAGGCCTCCCTTACTGCCGTTCCCCCACGGGGGGCTGCACCTCCTTCCTCAGAGCTCAATAAAGTCTTGGTGTCAGCACCCACTTGGTGTTTGTGCAGAGACAGGCTGGGTGCACCCAGAGTGGGCACAGAGGGGTTTGGGAGGTGTCCCTTGTTTCCTGCACAGCTCCTGCGTGGGCAATGGCAGTTGCAGGGTGTCCTCTTCAAGGATTTCTGTGACCCCTGCCCATGGCCCAGGAGAAGAGCCAGGACTCTCTGAAATGACCAGCGAGGTTTTATTGTCTGTGGCAGCGGCACCACGAGCCGGACCCGTTGCCCTGTGTCCAGGGCCATACACGAGCAGGGGGAGGGGAAGGGGGGGGCTCGTGCCCACCCCAAACCCCTTGGGGACCAAGATGACAGGGTACAATAGGGGGATGGAGAAGAAGTGTTGGGAAGACAGGGACCCTGCGAGCTCGTACAAAGTGCATAGGTGTGTGTGTGTGTGTGTGTGTGTGTGTCCCCATGGGAGGGAACAGCCCTGGTTCAGAGACAGCGGGCCGTCAGCGTCGGGGAGTGAGCCTGAAAATGACACAGAGGGGAGGTGGTGAGGACCCTGCAGGGCCCCCCACAGGGGGACCCAGACAGAGCAGAGAGGAGGGAGGGGGCTACCCTCAGCAGTGCAGACATGGGGATGCCCGAACTGGGGTGGGGGGGTCCCAAACACTGCCTCGAATCCCACACTCACCAGCTCAAGGCTTCTTCCTTTTCAGCTTCAGCGCCTGCAGCCAGTGGGGGGGAGAGCCCTCAGATCTGGGGTATTGGCAGAGTTTCAGCATGAGTCTCCCAAAACCAGTCCCAGGACACAGACTGATCCCCTCAGCCCCCTCTTCTGCCTCCATGAGGATCCTGGCCCCACACTCACCCTGAGGATTTCTCTGGCTTGGGGGGTAGGGTCGGGGGTTTTCCACTGACACCAGGGATCTTGCAGGACTTGGAGCGCTGCACATGGGGGTCCTTAGGAGGGGTTCCCTTGCTGTCCCCTGACGATGTCCCCTCCTCGGCTGAGCGGTTGCGACCCCTCAGCTTGGCCTGGGGGCAGAGAGAGAGAGGTCAGGGAGAAACACAGTACTCTGCCCCTAAGTTCCCCCACTGTCTCTTCCCTGTCTTTAGCCAGGCTCCAGACCCATCCTGCCTGTTTCCCTGTGTTCTACCCTCCCTTCCACCCTGCAGCCAGGATTCCAAGGGACTCACCTTGATGGCGGAAGCACTGAGGCCAGGAAAGAGTGGCACCTTGACCCCCCTGCCCGAGGGTGAGCCACGCATCCGCCGGCTCCGGGGCTCCTCCGCTGCCTCGTCGTCAGAGGACACTGCTGGGGCTGGCCGGGGTTCTGTGGGGACACAGGGACAGCGTCACTACGACACTGTGCCAGGACAGCCAGCCAGCTCTCACCCCCATCCCTGCTAGGCTCACCCGTGGAGTCCCGGAAGATCCAGCTCTCCCCCTCGGTGGTAGCGGGGCGCAGGGATGGCGCTCGGTGCTGGCGCTTGCGGCCCAGGCTGGCCTTGCAGCGCAACACGCTGCTGTCCAGGAGCTCTGTGTCCTGCCGAGCCCAGGGGACAGGTCAGAGCTGGCACAGGGAGCTAAGGGACCTCCCCATCCCAGCCAGCACACCCACAGCCCCCACAGCAGTGCTGGGGGCCCGCAATCCATGGCTGTCCCCTGGGGGCAGCAGGGTCAGAGTGCCCTATCCACAGGCACATCCTGTGACAGCCAGACAGACCCAAGCCATACAGGATGACTGGAATCTCCCCACTTCCACTTACCTCCAGAAGAGGAAATTCCTGACCCTGCTCCAAGAGCCCCTCGGGTTGGGGGGTAACAAGAGAGAGCCGCTGCTCCCCCCAGCTTGAGGAGCTCTCCCCATCTGGGCGGTCTGATGGCTGTTCCTCACTTCTTGTGTCTGCTGGAATCTCACTGGCAGCCTCTGGCAGCAGAGGGAGGGCCCTGGGGCTCTGTGGGGCAGCGGCTGGCTCAGAGGAATCCCTCTCCTCCTCGGAGGGGCTGGGTGACTCACTCCGGGATTGCACAGCCCGGGGATCAGCTGGAATGTCACCCATCGAAGGGCTGGGAGCTAACCTGCTTGGGAGACAAAACCCCAGAGTTGCTCTAGTCCTGGATAACACAAAGCCTGCCCCAAACCTCTTTATCTGTCTCAGGGGAAGCTGCTCCCTCCCTGCTACCACCAGTGCCCTTCTCACCTGTGCTCTGCGCTGGGGGCCCCTCCCAGGCTCTGCTCCCCTGCACCAAGGTCCCGGCTGCGGGCAGCACAACGAGCACTGAAGGCACTCGCCCACTCCTGGCGCCTGGCCTCATCATCCTGTGGCTCCACACTCCAGCTGTCCAGGTTCTGGTTCCAGCGGGCACTGTCCATGTCCAGAGAGAGATCCTTGTGCAAGCCTGTCTGGAGCTGAGGCAGGACCCTGGACATGGAGCCATCCAAGGCTCTGGCACTGCAGGCGTCTGCCACCCGCTCTGTCCCAATGACTCCATACTGGTTCTGGCACTCAGCTGCTCCAAGTTCCTCAGCCCAGTCCCTGCTGCCAGAGATGTCATGCTCTTGCTGGAGGGCACTGCCCCAGGTGGGCTCCTGGGCTGGGGGATCAGGGTGGTGGAAGCTGGGCATGTCCTCCTCACCAACCCCAACCAGCCCGGTCTGCCCCATGCTGCCCTCACTGGGCCAGCTCAGCCGGGCTGGGATCAGCTCCTGCTCTTCCTCCGTAGGGATCACAGAGCTGAGCTGCCCATCCCGGGCTGCTCCACTGAGGCTCAACTCTCTGTCCTGGGCATCAGCATCCCTGGTGCTGGATCTGTCACCCCAGACACATCTGCTGGGGCTGAACAACTCTCCATTCCGGGTCTCTGTGTTGCCGGTGCTGTGCCTACCATCCATGGCTGCTCTGCTGGATGTGAATTCATGGTCATGGGTGTCCAGGTCCCTGGTGCTGGATCTGTCACCCCAGACACCTTTGCTGGGACTGAACTCATCCTGGGTCTCCAGGTCCCTGGTGCTGCATTCACTAGCTTCACCCAGCCTGCTAGAACTGAATTCCCGGTCCTGGCTCTCCATATCCCTGGTGCTGAATCTGTCATCCCAGGCTGGCCTGCTGGGGCTGAATTCCCGATCCTGGCTCTCCATCTCCCTGGTGCTGGATCTGTCATCCCAGGCTGGCCTGCTG